ACAGGAGGTGAGCACAGGAGGGACCACCGGACAGGGTTGCAATCTCCCCAGGACTCTGCACACAGCTGCAGAAACATGGTGGCTCAATAGCAGCACTGACGGTGGCACCCGGGGTAACTCCAGCTAGGGACACGCAAGGTGCCAGAAACTGCACAGGCTGCTGATAGAAGCAAGAGAAGACCCAGATCCACGGAGAGCAGACTCCGCGGGGTCAGGAGGAAATGCTGCACACACACTGATCTTCCCCAAGCTGATCCGCGGACTCAATGCAAATCCAAGCAAAATCCTAGAGAAGTTGCTACACTGACTTTCGAATTTTCTGGAAATGCAAAGGACCTAGGGGACCCCAAACGGCTTCAGCAAAGAACAATGTTGAAGGATTCACCACTGGGCATGGAGGCTCAGTGTACAGTTACAGTGGTCACCGCGAGGTGAGAGCACAGGAAAGGCAAACGCTTCCAGGGAACAGAAACAGGGAGCCCAGAGTGGACCCAGGCACATGTGGGCTACTGACTTTCAACAAGGAGCAAAGACGTTCCATACAGAGAGGACTGGACCCGGGGCGCTCTGCTGCTGAGCCACATCCCCAGCCCGTTTTTTTGTTTTGTTTTGTTTTTTGAGACAGGGTCTTGCTAAGTTGCCCAGGCTGGCCTTGACCTTGTCATCCTCCTGCCTCCTAAGCAGCTGGCATTAGAAAAGTCTTTCATATAAATGGTGCCAGGGCAATTGGTGACCCACGCGCAGAAAGATGAACGCTGGCCCATACCTTGCAAGGTATCCGGAATCAACTCCAAATAGATCATTGCCGTTTAGAGACCAGAAACTTAGAACCTTAAGGAAACAGGACTCGTGAAGATGTCTCAGGAACAACAAAGTGTGATTCACCAAAGGGAGGATGGTGAGCTGGGTTTCACCAAAATGGAAGACTCTGCTTCGCGGCAGCACTAGGACCTTGCATGGTGGTGGTGCCTATGACCACAGCGGCTCAGAGGGCTGAGGCAGGAGGATTGCCAGATCCAGGCCAGCGTTGGCAACTTAGGAGACCATTGACCTCCTGACCACTGTGCTCGATGTCCCCGGGGAGGGGGCGCTGGCTTTGCAGTGAAGGAGCTGTCACCGTGTGGTAGGGGAGGGGCCCGGTGGCTCCTCAGTGGGTGCACAGGACTCACCGTTGGGACAGAAGAAAGCACTGTAGGTGTAGGACCGCGGCGCCCCTTCAGGCTGAAACAGAAATGGAGCGACTGAGAGCAGGGACGGGGTGGTGGGGACAGTCGGCACAGAGGAGCGTCCAGAACTCCCAGGGCAGCAGCTCCGAGTCTGGACCATGCAAGTGAGCTGCCGGGGCTTGTGGGGAACCCAGGGTGACACCAGGGTCACAGGCACACAGGAGTGACCTGGTCACCCACCTCCTAGGTCCGGGTGGCGACACAGAGCCTCGCCATCACGCTGTGCAGTGGCCGTGTAAATCTCGCCTGCTCCCCGCGCCCAGCCCTGCCCCCCCCCACTGCCCTCCAGTCCCCGGGTGCCCAGAGCACTGTGCAGAGAGGCTGCGGGATCCGAGGCCCCGACAGACGTCCACGAGCACCGTGAAAGGCCCAGGCCACCTCCACCTCCACCCCGTCTGTACCCGTGTCCTGCCTCCTGCCTGTCCACCTGGGCTCCCATCTCTGTCTTGTGCCCCGGGGGGCCCAGAAGGCCGTCAGCTGTTTCACAGAAGGGCCAAGACGCGGGCTCGGCCGAGGGGCCCTCGACAGATACAGGGATAAAGGGAATGTGGACATGACACTGTGGACTATTCAGGCAGAGGACATGGCGAGTCCTGTCACTTGCAGCGACACGGGTGGGACTGGAGGACATCACGTTAACGAAGGAAGCCGGGTGCAGAGACGGCGGGCGTCCTGGGTCATTTGAGGAAGCTAAAAACATTGATCTCACGGGAGGAGAGACCCGGATAGCGGTCACTAGAGGGGGAGGGAGGGGACACAGACAGTGGTTAGGCAAGGGACAGTAAAGGACACCAAAGCCCAGGAGGTGGAAGAAGGTTCTGATTTTCCAAAGCACAGAAGGGGAACTACAGTCACAATGGTCCGCGACACATCCAAATAACTAGGAGAATCTGAAGGGTCCTGGATCAGGAGATGGAAATGTTGATTTCCTTGATTAGTCATTATACATCGTATCCATGGACTAAAGTATCACACTGTTACCCCGAAAATACGTATGAATATTACATATCAACTTAAAAAAAAACAACAGGTGCCCAGAACTTAACTCCCAGACCTCAAAGTGTTTGCTAGAGTTTGGGTCTGGAATGTCTCCAAAGGCCCCTGTGATGAAGGCTTTGGGGAGGTAAGGGGACCTTTAAAAGGCGGGGCCTAGAGGGAGGCCTTCAGGTCATTGGGGGGTGTGGCCTGGAAGGGGATAGGGTGATGCCAGCCCCTTCATCTTTCTCTCTGTGGTTTTCCAGCCATAAGGTGAGTGGCTCGGCTTCCCCATGCACTGCTGCTGTGATGTTCAGCCTCGCCACAGGTCCCAAAGCAAGGGGCCCAGCCATCCGAAACCTCCAAAACCGTGAGCCACAATGAACCTCTTCTCTTTATAAGCTGATCGTCTGTATTTGTTACAGTCACAGAAAGCTGACTAGCACACAGGAATAGCTGCACCAAGGTAGCCGTGGGCCCCACTCCCTCCACAATGGCTAATTCTAGGTGTCGCCTTGACTAGGTCATGGGAGGCCAGAGTGGCTAGAGGCTCTTTCCGGGTGTATCTCTGGGGGTGAGTCAGTCCCTCCCCAATGTGGATGGGCACCATGCTACCTGCTGAGGCCCAAATAAGGTAACCAGGCAGGGAGGGTTAAACTCCCCTCTGCCCGCCGGCTTCCTGAGCTGGGACCTCACTCTTTTCCTGCCCCCGGTGCTGCTGGTCCTCTGACCCCCCCCGGGCCCGGGATCCCCGCCCTTGTCTCCATGGCTCTCAAGCCTTCAGCGGACACCGCAGGGGACAAGTCACGGGACGGCTCCAATTCCACAGTCACGTGGGCCGCGGCCTGATCATAAATCTCGTTCGACATCCGTATGAATGTGTGTATGGTAAACCCCGATCTATGCGGTCACGCGTCACTTCACAACGGGGATATGTTCTAAAAAACGTGTCCTGGGTGACCTTGTCATTGTGCAAACATCATAGAGCGTATTTACACACAGGCTGCAGCTGCTCTGATGTCACTACGTGGTGATTGTACGGACCACCGTCATACGTGTGGCCCATTGTCTACTGAAACCATGGGTTTGTCTGTCTGCCTCCCTTTGGTTCTGTTTCTCTAGAGAACCCTGCACATCCACCCTCTGCTGGGTGACGTGGGGCCACTCACTCAACCTCTCTGGGCTGGGAGCCGTCCATGTACCTGTCTCTGGTCCCCAGCCCTGGCGGCGGGGAGTGAGACCCCGTGCGTTATCCACAGCAGGGCTGGACAGCCAGGACACCTGTGGGCCCCACAGGTAAGAGGCGGTCCTGGGTTCACACCTGGGAGGTCTGCGCGGGCCCTGACCTCGGACTCCCCTGCTGCAGGACTTGTGTTCCGGGGACCCACGCCCACGTGCCACCTCACAGTCCCGCAAACTGCCTTGGAAAAGGGCAGAACTAGGAGACACGCACATGGCCCTCAAAAGTGGTCGGGCAGGGGTCGGGGTCACTCCCTGCAGCCCCTCCAGAGTGCAGGGCCACCTCCCAACCTGCTCAGCTCTGCGAGGAGGGGCCAGAGGCCACTGTCCTCCAGCAAGAAGCTCCCCCCACCAGCTGTCCCTGAGTCATTGATCCAGACCCGTGTGCTGCCCGGCTGGGGCTCCAACCGTGGGCCTAGCTGCTCCCCCCCAGGGCTGGGGCCCACGCTGGCCCCGCGGGTGGGGCCTGGCCTACCTCCACGGTTAGGCTGCGCCGGATGTGATCCGCCCCGGCGGGGACCCTCCTGTCGGGGGGACCCTCCTCTGCGTGTCTGCTGGGCCTCCTGTCCCGGCAGCAGCCTGCGTCTCCATAGGCCAGGGCTTTGGCTGTGGGGATTTGGTGGCTGTCAGAGCAGGTCCCCACCAGGTGGGCTGCCCCTCCCTCCCCGTGTCAGGCACGCGTGTGCCTCTGTGCAGCTGCCGTGTGCATGTGTGGGCGCGTGTGCACGCATTTCTGGGTAGACGTGCACACGTGGGCTTGGCACCGCGACAGCCCCGCTTCCCCCAGGTGAGGCCCTGGCCCTCTCCCCAGAGCTGCCCCCCTGTCCTGCTGGCCCCAGCTGCTGTCCTGTCCTTCGGGACGGTCCTGACCTCACCTGCTGGCCCATCCGCCCCACGGCCCCCGTGGGGCCAGAGCCTGGAGTCCTTGGTGGCTGGAGGGGAGCATGGGGTCCCCACCTGTGATGTTGCTGAGCCCCAGGTTGCTGAAGGACAGGACGACCCAGGTGGGTCCCGTCTCCCCGGGGGCCACACACATCTCCTTGGTCAGGTGCCGTCTGCCGGGGTGCCCCACCAGCTGGACGCCCTTGGGCACGGAGATCTTCACGTGCACCTGCGGGGACGGCACTGCTCATGGCACCTGGAATCCAGGCCGGCCTCCCTGCCCGCACCGTCCACCGCAGGTCCAGTCCTGCCGGCCCTCTCCAGAGGCCGCGCTGTCCTCAGAGGCCCTTTCCACTTCCAATCAGGCAAACCCCGGCGCTGTCTGGCTGCCCTGCTGCGGGCTTGTCCCCGCCCCTGACTAGCTTGGGCCTGCTCCTCTCCCAGCCCTGCGTCCCCACAGGTCCCTGCAGCCCCCAGGACCATGGGGGCTTCAAAGGCAGCCTCTCCCGCCACACCACCCTAGGGCTCCTGATGGAGACAACCCGACCCACTGCCAAGCTCCCACGGGGCTCCCTCTGACTGTCTCCCCAACCCCAGGGCTCCCTGGGGAAGAGTATGGCTGTGTGTGTGCACACGTGTGTCTCTGGTGCACACGTGCTCAGCCTGAGCAAGCACAGGGTGCACACACACCGGCATGCATGTGGGTGCATGTGGGTGCATATGGGTGCAGGTGTGTGCAGGTGTGTGCATCTTGTGTTGCTGTGAGCATGTGTGTGCAGCCCACGTTCCACCGTACAGGTGCGTGCCTGTGCCTTCTGAATGCGTGTGCACTGCATGTGCATCTACGGTTTAAAGCCTTCCCAGACTAGAGGAGCTCTCGCTCCACGTCCATTTGTCCAGCCAGCAAACCGGGAGCACCTGCTGGGTTCAGGCTTCTGCCTGGAGTGAAAGACATGGCTAAGCAAGACGCCAGCGACCCCTGGCCCCGGCCGGCTCAGCTGTCATTGGAACTTGGTGTCTGTTCTTTCTGAGCTGCAAAGGGGCTGGGGGTGTGCTCAGTGGTGGACAGCGGCTGTGGTCAGTGGGGGGTGCTTGCCCAGCACGCGCGGGAGCCTGGGTTCAGGCAAAGGCTGGACCACAAGGTGAGGGCAGAAGCTGAGTTTGGGGTGCACAGGCATCAAGGTGTGACACAGAGGGAAGGACACAGGAGGAGCTAAGGTGACAGAGCCTGGATCCTGCCACAGGAAAGGCCAGCTGGACCCAAGCCTCAGCGCCCTCAGGTTGAAGGATGCTCAAGATCTCCCACATCCCTCTTCCAGAAAGTTCTTCCATGGAGAAAGATGGAAACTCAACAGCCAAGTGTCAGTGGTGACATGTAACCCGGCTGAGGGGTGTCACGGGCAGAAACAACCAACTATGGAGTTTAGAGGTGGGACCTTCGGTGGGTGGCTTTTTAGGAAGAGGCAGACACCAGAGGAGCCGTCCCCGTCCCTCACCATGTGATGCTCCACACCACCATCCCCAGATGCGAGCTTTTGACCTTGGATCCCCAGAACCATGAGCCAAAATAAACCTCCTGGGGCCAGGGGTATAGCTCAGAGGAGAGAGTGTGCTCAGCATGTGAGAGGGCCTGGGCTCAATCCCCAGCACCAAGATAAAAAAATGAAAGAAAAGAATAAACCTCTTTTCTTTTTAAAGTTATCCAGCCTCATACATTTTGCCATAGTAATGCAAAACAGCCTAAGACACCATCTCACCCCGTCTCCCTGGTAACAGAGATGCTGTGACACCCAGTTCCTCACCCAGGTCCCATTCCACCCCTGCACCCTGACTGCAACAAGGCCCGCCCCTGCTCCCCCAGCAGATAGGAAAAGCCATGCATTTGGGGGGTTGGTACCTCAGCACAGGTGCCCAAGTAGTTGTAGACACTGAGTGGGACCTTGACCTGCTCCCCGCGGACGACAAGAGGGGGCAGCGTGAAGTCCAGGAAGAAGGGCTTGAAGGTCTTCAGCAGGGCGGGCTCGGCAATTCCCAGGCCCCGTGAGGTGGAGAGGCCCACGGCCTCCCCCACCCAGCTGGTGATGGAGTCAGGCACCTGCAGACTGAGGGTCTCCTCCCCGGACGGGTCACTGTGGAGAGACGAGAGGGACCAGGGCCAGGTGGGGATGGACTCAGGCCACCTGGCTTGGGGGGTCTGGGGTGGGGGCTGGGAGCTCAGAAACAACTACTTAAGGCACCAGGGGAACACGTGACCCGAGAAAGCCACCCCTCAGCCCTAATTTGCTCTGAGAAAAACATGGCCAGATCTCAAGGTGACTCGAACACAGGTCTTGAGAGGGGAAGGTCGGGAAGGTTTGGGAGAGAAAGCTACTGAATGGACGGGCCCAGCCACTTAGCGGGGCTGGACACGTCCAGGGGATGCACATTTACGGGTGTGATCACGCTGCGCCCCGTAAGTACGCACCATCCTTCTATCAGTTAAGAAAATAATGAGAAAGAAAAAAGCCTGAAAATAATACAACAGAGTCTCATGATTTCCCTTAGCCGTGTTCTGGGAAGCCACCGTGAACTCCGAATTAGCAAAGAATGGCTCATGGCTCCTACCAGAAATAGAGGGTCAGGTCCCTGTCAGCCTCTGGTCACATTTTGGTCGACAAATCAATACACAATTTTGTTTTATGGTTTTTTTTTTTTTGGGTGGGGGGATAACCAGGGATTGAACTCAGGGGCACTCGACCCCTGAGCCACCTCCCCAGACATATTTTGTATTTTATTTAGAGACAGGGTCTTGCTGAGTTGCTTGGAGCCTTGTTTCGCAGAGGCTGGCTTTGAACTCGCCATCCTCCTGCCTCAGCCTCCCGAGTCACTGGGAGGATAGCCATGCGCCACCGCGCCCAACCTATGTGTATCTTTGTTCAAAGACACCTCATTTAGTATGTGGTGTGTTCGTCCCATGAGCTCACGGCCAGTGGCACCGAGACACCCTCAGAGGGAGAGCAGGTGAGAGATTCCACTGCGCCTCTCAGAAGGCCGTGAACTTAGGAATTCTTTGTTTCTGGAATTTTGCATTTAATATTTTTGGGGCACAGTGACTGTGGGTCACGCACTACAGGTAAGAGGGACTATCTGGCAGGTCTGTGGAGGGAAGTCGTCCCCCAACGTCAGGCCAGGTGCCAGGGAGTGCCCTGCACCTGAGGAGACCCGCTAGCTCTGCTCTTCCCCGGCCTCAGTGCGAGGCCACCCTGTTCTCCGGGAGGGGCCTCTTCAGCACTCCTGCTGCCGTGGCCTTGTCAGAAGGAGGGGGGTCATGTGCTCATTGTCACAGATACTGCGTGGTTCCACTAATCCACAGTCCCCGGGGTCCTCACCATCATAGAAAGTGAAGTGGCGGACGTCAGGGGCTGGGGAGGAGGGACGGGGGAGTGTTTAATGGGGACAGAGTGTCAGTTTTGCAAGAGTCCTGGAGACGGTGGTGACGGTCATTCGAGGATGTGAAAGCTTAATGCCACTGAGCTGTGCGCTTGAAGACGGCGCGACGGTCAGTTTTATGTGATGCGTGTCTTTCCACGATTTCAAAAAACAGGGAGGAAAAAAGGGAGATCTTCCAGTCCCTCCCTGGGCCCCACAGGAGGCCCCTCCTGGCCTCAGACCTGTCCCTCTGATTCATCCTCGCTGCGGCCAACAGCGGGGAGGGACGTCCCAAGGCCCAAATCCCTGGCTCTGGTCGGTCACCCAGCCCAGTGGCCTCAAGCCCTCCGCCTCCCCCAGCCACGCGGGAGCTGCCAGGCTGTCCTGCTGGTCCCTCCTGGACTCCTTCCTTCCCTTGTTGGTCCATCTTACGCGTCTGGGCTCGGGCCCCACCTCCCTGCCTTCTCCAGAGGGTCCCCGGCCCCGGAGCCCCCAGGCCTGTGTCCCGCATCCATGAAGGACGGACCCCACTGCTGCCCCAGGGCTCCTGGGGCACCTGCCGACTCTCAGGAGCCCGGGGACCCTGTCTGCCTTGTTCCAGGGACCACCCTTGGCACCCCAAAAGTCACCCAGCACCCGGAAAACAGAAACTTCTCTTGCAATGCCAGGAACAGAAGCCGGGGCCCGGGGACGCGCTGGGCAAGCGCTCCACACAGGCCGCCTCCCGGCCAAGCGGAATCCTCCAGATGATTTTGTAGCTGGGCCCCAGAGCAAACCCGGCAGCCGGGATCCGCTCCACCAGGAGTCTGCCTTCCGCAGAGCCCAGCTCCCCGGGTCACAGCCCCCCAGGTCTGAGAATGGGAAGGGCACCCCTCCCGCTGGCCGGCGAGCAGCCGAGTCGCACCCTGTCCCCAGCTGGCGCGCCTGGCTCACTCCTCGCGGGTGGCTGTTGCCCTGCACCTTGTCCTGTTCCTCTAGGGTGGGCAGACGAGCTGCCGCCCCCTGTTTGTGCCAAACTGCCATTAAATGCTCAGGGCCTTGTTGGCCCTTTCCCAGCAGGCGGTGGTGAGTCCAGTCCTTGGGAATCGCAGGCCTCCGGTCTCGGGGGCTGGTGACAGGAGGACACGCGCATCCGTGCAGGCGGCCTGGGGAGCCCCAGCTGTGCTCTGGTCCTGCTGAGCATGCGACACGGTGCCCAGAAGGACCTGGGCCAGCAGCTGGTTCATGCCAAACAGTCCTGGGCTCCAGACTTCCATGCCTGACCGGTGTGTCATGGCCAGGCACGGCCACCTTCGCTAGACGCTCTGACACCAGCAACAAGTACCCCCTGCATCCTGCAGAGACGGGGCCTCTGGATCCTGCTTCTGGGAAACTGGAGCTGAACAGGGCAAAGAGCGGCCGGCCCCACGGCAGGAGCCGAGTCCCCGAGGGGCCAGGAGGGAGGAGGGGGCTTCAAGTTCAGGTTCTGTTCAGCAATGTCATCTTCTTAATGAGCTCATTATGCAAACAGAGCACACCGAGTCCCCCAGGGAGCTGCGAGGAGCCGGAGCCCTCCGACTGCGGGCTGCGGTTCTCATGGGCAGATGTCCAGGCTGCAGGGGACTGGGGGCCGGGGGACTTCAACAGCTTTGGGTTTGAGGGTTGAAAAAGAACTTGCAGTGTCACCCCAGGGGTGTCAGGGGCAGGTCCACAGGCAAAGGGGTCGGGAGGGAACCCTCTGGACTCGGTGAGAGCCTTGGGGTCCACCGGAAAAGACAGGGCAGGAGAGGGACGGAGCCTACCTGACGTTGACACACCGCCAAAGCCACGTCTCGGGGAAGAACGTCCTTTTTCTCTTCTCTGCTCTATAAAAATTTTAAAAGGAGGAAAAGTGGTTAAAGTTTCATGGGCGCACAAACCCTTCTTTGGAGGTGGCTTTCGGCCTGATGAGACTTTCACATGGGCTTCGAGGGCCCGGCAGGTACCGTTGGACTCGATGGGGGTCACGCCGACTCCTTTCTCTTTCTAGCTGATCTCTTCCCCCCGGGAGGGTCAACCTTTCACTCAGGACAGCGGAAGGTGAGGCGGCCAACGCCGGGCAGAGTCCACCTCCCGCCAGAGTGGGCCCCACAGCCTGGATGCAGGAGGTAGGAGGGATAAGGGGACCACCCCCTCCCTCCCCTGCCGTGTTCTTCCCCATGGTCACACGGAGCCCCTCTCCCTCCCCTTCCTCTTTCCTGTGGAGAACCTTCTATTCGTCCTCCTCTGTGCCCCAGCAACCTCACAACTCACTGCCCTTAAGGACAAGGAAGTACTTTTTAAAATTTTACTCAACCTCTCAAAATTAAAAATGCTCACATTCTTTCTACCAGCAATACCCCTTGTAGAAACACACCCAGGATTCTGCCCCAGACACGTGTGCAAAGAGACAGGGGAGGACACGGCAGCCTCCATCAATACGGGGACTAGCATATTCATCAGCAGAATATTATACACTGATGAACAAGATCAATGGCAGTTGTGCATGGTACTCATGCGGAATAGTCTCCAAGGCTTACTGTTAACTTAAAAGAGGAAAATAGATGGGGCTGGGGATGTGGCTCAAGCGGTAGCGCGCTCGCCTGGCATGCATGCGGCCCAGGTTTGATCCTCAGCACCACATACAAACAAAGATGTTGTGTCCGCCGAAAACTAAAAAATAAATATTAAAAATTCTTTCTCACGCTCTCTCTCTCTCTGTCTCTCTAAAAAAAAAAAAAGAGGAGAATGCTGAATGTTTCATAAAAAAATAAGAGGAAAATAGAGATATTGTTGACCCATTATGTCCCATGGTCCTAGATATAGGACATCTGAAAAAATTTAAATTGAACAATTGTATAGGTATCCATTATACAGGCACCCCCTACATAGGATGATGAGATGTCATACGTTAAAGTAGTCAATTAGATTTTTTTAAAAAATTCTTATATATGCCCAAAAGATATCTAAGAAGTTATCCATCATGATTATGATTGAATAAAGTAACGGAGGGCTTGGGAGTAGGAGGAAGACTGAAGGTTCATTGATACCCTTTCACAGTGTTTAAAAATGATTTTTTAGCCAAAGGTATACAGTGATCGGAAACCCTGTCCTCAGAATAAGGATGCGCATCCATTTACAAAGAGGCCTGGGCGCTTCTTGCGTGAGGCATTTCTGGCGACTTTCTAACCCTAGGAAGCTACTTCCATGTCTGCTCCCGGCCCAGCTCCCGGATCCTGCACTTGGGTGGGTGAGGGCCCCCAGGGTGGCTGCCGGTGGGTGGAGGCCCTCGGCCATGTTCCACCTCCCTCATTCACCCTCATCCTAGAAATGCTTCCAGATGTGTCCTGATTTGGAGTCCGGAAAGCAGGAGGCTGTTGGCCACACTCCTGCTAAATGTGTGGCCCAGGTGGGGACAGCTGGAAAGACCAGGGCCCCCAGGAACCAACGGGAGGGGACTGGCAGGGGCGAGAGGCTCCCGGTCTGTACAGAGAGGACTTGAAAACCTGCTTCATGGACAGGCCATGCACCAGGGAAGGAGAGCGCCTGGGCCACCTCTGGCTCAGGAAAAGGGTGGAGGGGCCTGGGGACCACCCTCAAGTCTCTGGAGAGACCTCACACTGTGGACCGCACTGGCCACATCTCATCTCCCTTCTCCTCCTCCTAGGAGAGGGTACAGCCAGGCCTGCGCTCCCTTCTCCAGCCACACGTCTGCGTCCTCTACAGAAAGCCAGGAGGCAGGGTCCTCAGGACAGCTGGCTGGCCGAGATCTGGGGTTGAGAAGGGAGTGGGGGGTAAATAAGGGGCAGGAGAGAAGAGATGTGGGCAGAGCGGTGGAGAGACAGAAGAATAAAGTGCCAAGAAGAAGGGGGGACAGGGAACAGGAGGTCACGTCACTTCCTGTGAAGGAGAGGTTTCCTGACTCTGGGACAAAGCTGTGAATCTGCTCACTCAATAATTGGTACTGTAAACAGACCACGAAATGGACAGAGATGGAGAGGATCTGAACACCATCACCACCGGGTTTGACCTCAAGTGTGCACTGAGCACCCAGAATTCAATGACTGGGCACTTGGAAACTCTTTTCAAAAAGGTACATTTATAAAAAGCATCTACAAAAACTGGTCATAGAGAAAGTCTCCCAAATTAGACCCAAAATATGGATAGCATACAGGCTACAAATGCTTGTTTGTGAATTTAGAAAACACATAAGAATAATCATGGGGGAAAAATCATTTGAAAATGTAAAATACTTCTGGACAAGTCATGACTCAAAAACAGAATCATTCCACCAGTTAGAAACAATGTGGAAACAAGCAATACTGGAAATGTTTCATAGTGCCAAGTAGATGCAGCCAAAGCCATATTCACAGGAAAATTCATAGTCTTCTAAAGGCATAGCCCTGATATGAGAAAGACTGAAGGAAGGAATTGGTGTCTAACCTGAGAAAACAGAATTGGAGGGGAAAGGGAAAGAGAATGAGAGAATGGAAGGAAAGGAAGGGTAGGAGGAAGGAGAGAGAACAAAAGAAAGAATTTTCTAAGCAGAGTTCCTAAAAGTGGGACAATCTGTTCTCAGACCAGCCAGCACCCCTGAGACATCTGCTTCTCTCTTCTCTACCCTCGCTCCCAGGCACTGGGGCAAGGCCAAGAACTGGGAGAGGTGCCCCAGCTCCTAGCCCCCAGGAGATGATCAGCCAGCTCTACAGTGGACTGAATGTTTACGTGCCCTCAAAATTCGTATGTGGAAACCCTATCCTTCAAGGTTTTAGGGAGTGGGGCTCCTGGCAGGTGCTTACGTCATGAAGGTGGAGCCCTCCTGACCCTCCTGAATGGGACAAGTGCCTGCTAAGGCACCACCTATGCACCAGACACTGCATCTCGGACTTCCCCACCTCCAGAGTGTGAGTGAGCCTAAGGTATCCTGTCACAGCAACCCAGAGTGTGACAAGCCCCAAACACCATCAGTGCCCAGGGTCAGACACCTTGCTCCAGGTATAGGCCATTACCTGGGGGGTTGCCTGGAAGGCGCCACGGCCATCAGGGTCCCTGTGTGGGGCTGGAAAGCCGGGACAACCTCGTCGGTGTAGAGGCTGCCATCCTGCCGGTGGTTCAGGCTGACCCTGTTGGTCATCACCACTAGTCCTGTTTCCTGGCAACAGACAATGGCCAACAGTGGTGGGGAAGTGGATGCTGACGGTTCCAGGAGCAAAGGGGAGCGAATGACAGTCCCCATCACCCCGTGGCCACTGGCCCGACCTCACTGACGGGCACCTCAGGGAGGGAGTCCTCTCTGGGCTTGGTGGAACCGGCTGAGGAGGTACAAACCCAGGGACCATCCAGCGCAGAGCGATAGCACATCTAAATTGTGGCCAAGCCTGGCTGGACCGTGCACAAAAGGCCACACCTGTGGGAGTCCACTGATGGGAAACAACAGTCCAGGGAATCCAGAGACAGGAAGGGGGTTCTGGGGCTGCTAACGGGGACGGGCCCCCTTTTGGGGTGTTCTGGGTCTGGACGGAGCTGGTGGTTGCATGACAAGGAATGAACCGAGGGCCATTGAACTGTGCACTTTAAAATGGTGAGTTTTATGGTCTAAGAATTAGAAAAAATATCAACCTGACAGTGTGTGGTCCAGGCCAAAGGCTGGTGACTTTGTATGCCAACGATTACTTGTTATCTTTGTCACTGTGGCGATTATTGGGAGCAACTTGGTGGATGAGAAGACTCATTCTACTTTTTCCCAAGCCGGGTTCAACCCAGGGTTATGTGCATGCTAGGCAAGGGCTCCACCTCAGGTCTGAATGTCTGTCTGTCTGTCTCTGTACTAGGAATCGAACCCAGGAGCACCCACTGAGCCTCTAGGACCACAGGCATGTGGCACCATGCCCGCTGCCCGTCCCAATCTTAATGCCAATAAAATCCTAAATGCACCCTCCAAGCCACTAACCCTCTCTGATCTGTGTGACCCTGAAGGGCACCTGGGCAGATAGGACCTGCTGCCTGAGAACAGCCACTCCCCTCATTGAGCATTGCCAGGTACACACCAAAACAACCCAAGTCAGGCAGAGCTAGGAGCAACCGGCCCCTGCCACTCCCTGGAGACGGTTTCCCTCCCTCCCACCTAGCACCCTCCACATACTGGTCCATAAGTCAAGTTACAATCTGCCCAATCATTTAAACATACAGTCGTGCCCCACATCAGGATAATCTGGTCAACAGTGGGCCAAACACTGTCAGATGACACGTTGTGGCCATTGCAATGTCCAGCCTCCTAACCTGGGTGTGGGGGACCCTGTGCTGCCTGCTGCGTAGAATCACAGCACACAGGACTACCTACGGTGCACACGGCTCCATAACAAGAATAAACCAATGGCTGCCAGTTCGTGTGCTGAGCACACAATGTCATTTTAGCATAGGCTCCATCTACTTGTAAAAGCCGTTCACTGTTAACAGAATGCCAGGTCACACTGGCAGTGGCCTCCGCCGTCTCTTATTGACCGCGTCTCTCTGTGGCATCTGTGCTTGGTTTAACCTCAGGTGGTTTTGTTCATCGTGGCCCCAGGAGCGACAGACAGACTGTGTCCTGAACATTCCCAGGTGCACCATAGGCTGTACCCTCAGTGTGTGAGCAGCCCCCAGAACCAGCACAGAGCCACCTAAAGACGCAGTTCTCAGAACCTATCCCTGTCACTAAGCAACGCGTGACTGTGCTGCTTTGCCCCTCGGCAGAGCTGGGCTGCAGGAGAGAACCACGTGGTAGGAGGGTTTGGGGCCTCGGGCTCTGCCGCATTTCTGGATCCCCAGACCCTCTGTCCCCTCACGAGCGGGGCTCAGACTGTGTGGAAAGACCAAACCACCTCTCCTTACGGTGAAGGCAAATCCCGAGTCCTTGGTGACACCCCAGGGCCACGGGAAGGCAGAGGAGCGCCGGCGCCGTCGAGCGGTCAGCCCCGCCCACCAGGACGCTCCGTCCTCCCTGGACACACCGAAGGCGTCGGAAACGTCGTAGTCTTCCAGTTCCCGGAAAACCTGCAGGCAGAGGGGGACAGGCCTGCGTCAGCTGACGTGTCCAGTCCCAAGTAGGCCGTCCGTCGTGGGTCGCGCAGGTGTCCACCCCAGCCTCCTGTCACATGGACGCGCTCACTGACGTCCGATGGGCTTACATTCGGACAAACCCGAGACAGGTAGAAAGTACCACGGGTCCACGACCCCGCGGAGAAAGCAAATCCAGACCCACGACCAGCTCTACGTTTCCTGGAGAGGAAGGGGAGGAAGGGCAAGCCACCGCTCACCTGGGCCGGAGTCAGCCGAAACCCAGACCTGAGCAGGTAGACGCTCCTGTCCACCGCGGCAATGCACACGCAGCTGCCCCTCGCGGCCCTGACCCAGAGGTCCACCACCTCCCCGGGACGGGTCTCGTTTGCCGAATACGTCAGTGAAACCTGGAAACAGCGGGAAAATCAAGAGCCGGTCCAGTCCAAGGCCTCTCTTCCCCTCCACCTGTCCACCCAGTGCCCACCGGGGAGTCTCGGGCTTGGCCAGCCCAGCTGGGACCCTGTCCCCCTACCCAAGTAGAACTCGTCCTTTTGTGATGGGCAGGGGGTCCAGGGATGGGGAGAACCGGGAGGCAGGTGCCGGCTGAGCACACACTGGAGCTCATTTCAAGGCTGCAGGGAGAGGGGACCAGAGGCTGAGCTGGGCTGGGGACATGAGGGCTGTCTCACAGGGCGGGAGCCAGGGGAGGGCAGAACAGCTGGCTCTCTCCCTGCAGGGTAGGAAGGAAGGTCACCTCCATGTGGAAGCACTTCAGCTACCAGTGCTCCAATCACAGCCGTGCCTAAGGACAGCGTCAGGCTCACAGGCTCACCACTACCCTCACCCTTGGGCAAGTGACCTGGGTGCAGTCACACACCTAGATGGCACAGCCTGCTACATACCCAGGCTATGTGGGGTATAGATGTGGAACAGCCTGTCACTCCTCGGGACACGATGAGCAAAGCAAAAGGAGACTAAATCAAGCCCCGGAGAAAAGGATGTCCCAGGGACGCAGCATACACAGGACGGCTGAGGCCACTGCCCACGTCCCAGGGCTGCTGCTTTATGACAAGTCACTTTTATAAGTGGAAGATGCACCCGCCAAAATGATATTAAAAACTAGTACAAGCCAGGTACGGTGGCCCACGCCTGTAATCCCAGCACCTCGGGAGGCTGAGGCAGGAGGATCTTGAGTTCAAAGCCAGCCTCAGCAATTTAGCAAGACTCTGTCTCAAAACAAAAACATAAAAAGGGCTGGGAGTGTGGCTCAGTGGTTAAGCACCTCTGGGTTCAATCCTTGGTACCAAAAAACCCCAACTATAGAAATGCGTAAACCAGTAACAGTCACTATTGTCATTGCCTGGTACCCTGGACAGTATGCAGGTGTCCATGCTGTGCTTTGAAATGCCAGCAGCACAGCCGATTGTTTCCACCGGCATCACTACAAACATGGAGTACCGTGTCACCACGTTAGGGCAGCTACGACGTTGACAGGAACTTTTCAGTCCCAACAGTTCTTGCAGACTACCATGGTACACATGGTCTGTCTCTGATCAAAAACGTCCATTACGTGGCACCTGACGATAGTCCCATAAGAGCCATGCCTGTATGTATCACTGGGTGGAGCGGGTCCCAGCTGTCACCCAAGCCACCACCCTGAGAAGCCCCAGTGGCACTTGCGCTCTACCTGGTTTTCGAAGTAATTCTCGACTGCAAACTGGAGGCTGTCGGTGACCCCTTCTCCATCCTCCCTGACGTACAGAACCAGCAGGCGGCCAAGCGGGACCATGCTGGGGGTCACGGCCAGTCGGAGAGAGGTCACGCACACGTTGACCTCAGCGGCTGGGGCGGGAGGGGGCTCTGAGATGGGTCCAGAGTGGGACAGGCCGTGAATCAGCCTCTCTCGGGGGACTCTGGCCATCTGACCTTGCTTCAGCCCACCCACACCAGCTCCCGTTCCCACGCACGGAAGCATCTTTCCCAGGCTTCATCCCCAGCCGACGCTGACCACACCCACTAGCTCAGCCCAGGGTGACCTGGGCTTGCCACCAACTCTCCTGTCTCTGCAGGAGCACGGTTCTGGCTCCAAGTCAACCCACCACCTTCTCCATCGGCAGCAAAGTCTCTCGAGTTGCTCAGGCAGTGCCATCTCAGACCCCCAGGACACCCCTGGCCTCTGACCCCCTCCCTGAGACTGTCCCTGTCCCTCTGGGGCCCGGGACCAGCTGTAGACCTGAATGCCATTGTTGGCTGACCTGAACTGAGCCTCCCACTCCCTCCCCCGGGGTAAAGACCCTCAAAACCCACATTCTATAAAGGATCGTATACGTCTGCTGAGGTGTTCCAGAATACACATGTCCACCTTACAGTGAGGGGACATCTCCGTGCAGCCCCCCAGGGAACGATCCAGCCCCAAGTGTCAGTGGTGCTGAGGCCGAGAAATTTTGCCTTAGTTCAAGAGACCCTGTCTCTCTATCAATCAGTCTATCATCCACCCATCATCCCATCTAGCTGCCCATCATCCTATTGATCTCTCAGTCTACCCATTTATCAATTATTCTACCCACCCACCCATCCATTGTTCTACTCATCCATTCTTTTCTCTCTCTCCCTCTCCCTCTCTTGGGTGACCTTGACCCCCAAGAATGTTGGCCATGGGTGGAGAAGTTTAGGTCGTCACACTAGGGTGGGGATTGGGACTCCTGGCATCGAGTGGCGCCAGTTGCTGCTCAGCAGCCCACGGTGCTCAGGACGGCCCACCCTAGAGAGTAATCTGGCCCCAGGTGTCCACAGTGCCCAGGTTGGGACCCTGCTTTGGACAGAAGAGGAAGGGGCTGGGAAGCCCCTGGGAGTAGAGTCAGGGAGTGGGGAAGGACCGGCAGGCAGGGACGGCCTGGGCAAGGAGACTCCAGGCCCACCCGGGTGGTGCAGGAGCCCCCGTGGCCGGCCGGCCTGTCCCTGTGGACACCCAGAGCCAGCAGGTCCCCAGGTTCAGTGAACCTCCGCACCCCTGCCTGGAGACACGTGCCCACCACCCCAGCAGACGCCCATCCCCTGGCCCTGGCCGTGCCCTGCCTTGCTAGGGCTCCTGTCTCGGTGGCTCAGGGAGGAGAGCAGGAACCTTCTCCCGCTGCCCAACTCACCCGTCTCCGAAAGGTGCGTCAAGCGAATGGGCTTCTCCGGAGCCGGGGCCGCCCGCCTGCTCCGCTGCAGGGTGATGTGGGCGGGCTGCTGGCCGGAGAGCACGATGTTGCCCCGAGCGGCCACCTCGTAGTACAGGGTGAAGTTACAGGGACACGTAGACTGCACAGAAAAACGGGCCTCCTCCCCAACCTAGGGGAGACGGCAGCGTCAAGGTCACAGGTCACAGCCCCCCCCCCCAGGGACCAGAGGGTGGAGAGCCAGCCCCACACCAGACCCTCCTGGGCCAGTGCTGGCTGGCGTCCAGTGTGCTGACCAGTGTGACCACAGCGCGAAGCCCAGGGTGAGAGGTCGCAGAGCCTGGCTCGAGGGAGATGTGGCCTCTGCAGTTCCTGCCGTCCCCTCGGCCCTTGGAGTGACCTGCCTGGCATGAGGTCAGTGTGTGCCTGGGTCTTCAGTCACTATGTGAGCGTCCTGGGCCCAGTGTTATCAGCTTGACCTCTCGGGGGACAGGAGCCCACGGCAGCCTTCCAGGTGGACGGTCGGGTGGACAACTGAGCCCTGATGAAAACTGGGCCCTGAGGCTCAGGGGCCCTTCCCTGGTGGGCAGTACCTAACTCCCTGGGTGCGGATCTCAGCCGAGGGCTGGGCTTCTCTCCCATGTCCACTCGATGACTTAACTCCTGCCATAAGCCCTGGGTTTCCAGAAGGGAAACCGAGGCTCGGTCCCTTGCCCGACATCCGTGAGAGCCGGGGAGGACTCGCAGCCAGGACGGCCGACCCCGCAGCACTTGACCCTGAGGCTGCCCCCACTCACAGCTGCTGCCCCCCAGGTCCCACGACCCCTGAAAGTCCAGGTGACAGCTGCATTTACACAGGGACGCAGCTGGGGGTGGTGCTGAGAGGTGGGCGATGGAGGCCCCCAACTCTGCCCCGTGCCAGAGCCAGGAGAGGCCAGCTGAGCCCCTGGACCAAGCATTAATTAGCACATCTGCCCTCAGTGCCCGGAAACTGTCCCTGGGCCCCTGGTGGCAGCCTAGCAGGGAGCAGGGGAGCTGGGACATGCTGATCTGGGTCAGGCGGGGGGCGGTGACACCCTGAGAGCAGAATCCCAAGGCCGAGCCAAGTCCTCACCTAATCAGGACAACGGTCAGGCTGCGAGAACACGAGGTTCCGCCTGCCCCCGAGAGGGAGGCCACCAGCAGGGTCCCACCTGGCACCGCTGTGTGACAGCATTACAGTAAGAACAGCGTGTCCCTCCAGGCGGGCACAGTCCCATCCGAGTCTCTCTGCCACCCCTGCAGCGGGCCATCAGCCCCTGGGAACGGGCAGCCTCGGCGCCATGACTCCTGTGAGCTGCGCCCCGTGGGTCCTTCCACCCTTGGAAGAGGAGCGAGGGGGTGTGGACGGGCCTGGCCTGGCAGCCACCGAGGCGACTGGTTTCCATCAGGGACAGAGCCTCTGCCAAGGCCGGGGTGCCACTCCAGCTGGGGGCCCGCCAGGAACTCGGCCCCGGCAAAGCCAGAGAGTGGCGCCTGTGGCCTCGGAGTTGACGGTGGTGGCAACGACACGTACGTGGGTGTGAACGTGCACACATCTGTGGTGACTGCACACTCAGGCACAGGTGCACATGTATGCACAGATACAGAGATCCTGACCATACCAACACAGCCGGTCACTCCTGAGGGACGTACTCTGCACACAGACACGGACAGAGGGGACACACACACACACAGGTGCTCCTCTGTGAGTCCAGGCTCTTCCCTCTTCTATGGAAGGATCTCTATCTAGATACACAAATTTGCCCCTCAATACCCTTGGGGACCCCCCATAACCAAGTGTGCAGATGTTCAAATGCCTCGTGTAAAATGGCATTTGATTGGCACAGAATCTACCCCCCCACACACCCCGGGGACTTTAATTTTAATCTGCAGATCACTCAGAAAATCTCATCAATACTGCGTACACAGTTGCCAGGCCGTATTGCCCAGGAGATGGGGACAAGAAAATACGTTTGTATGTGCTTAGCGCCAATGCACTTTTTCCTAAAAATATTTTTTAATATTTTTAGTTGTAGATGGACACAAAAGCTTTATTTTGTTTATTTATCTTTATGTGGTGCTGAGCATCGACTCCAGGGCCTCACACATGCCAGGCAAGTGCTCTACCGCTGAGCCACGGCCCCAGCTCCCCCACATATATATATATATATATATTTTTTTTTTTTTAAAGAGGGAGTTTGGATGTGATCAGTGAATTTTTTTTTAAGATAGAGAGAGAGAGAAAGAATTTTAATATTTATTTTTTAGTTATTGGCGGACACAACATCTTTGTTTGTATGTGGTGCTGAGGATCGAACCCGGGCCGCACGCATGCCAGGCGAACGCGCTACCGCTTGAGCCACGGCCCCAGCTCCCCCACATATTTTTGATTTGAGGTTTGCTGAATCTGTAAAACCCCTGGATACAGCATTCATGGGTACAGAGGGCCGCTGTGGACACTCACACACACACACGCATGCACACACACGCATGCACACACCCACGTATCTATCCCATTTTCCATTGAGGGTGAACGGGAAGCATATATCCTTCAACAGGCAAGTGAACATGTGTGCATACAGGAGTAAGCATATGTGTGCATATGTACATCCAGACACAAGTATACGTGCACACATATGTGAACTCATGTGTGCATGCACACGTGCACACCCCCACACACGTCCACATATCCCTCAGCAGGTGAGTGACAACCCACTGCACACCATCCGTACAAGGACACAATTCAATGATGGGAGGAAATGAGCCCCAAAGCCACCAAAGACACAGAGAAGCCACCAAGGCACCTGGCTAAGTGGAAGCAGCCAACCTCCAAGGCCACACCCTGCAAACGCAGCTCGAGGACACTCTGGGGAAAGGCCAGACACACTAAGGGGTTTGAGTGGGGGGCAGGGACGGATGGTTGGAGCCCTGGGGACTTTAGGGCCGGGAAACTGATCTGATGACTCTGTGACGGTGAAGACAGGGCGTCACGCATTTGCCAAGATCCATAGAATGTTCAACCAAAGAGTGACCCATGTAAGCTGCGGGCATTAGTTGATGATATCGTATCGATACCCGTTCATCAACTGCAATGTGCATCGCGTTCACTCACGATGTCAATAACAGGGACGCTGGAGGGTGGGCAGAGGGGTGCACGGAACTCTTGGTACTGTTCACTGGACACCTTTTAAACCTGAACTTCCTTTTAAAATTAAGTCTGTTGATTTAATAGAGTTTTTTAAGACTACCCACTCATAACAACAGACCCGGGAAGAACTAACGTGAGACACAACTCCATGCTCATCTTGTCTTTGCACTTAGCATATCTGCGAGTTTCTGGGTGGAGAAAGCCCCAGGGCCTTTGCACAGGAAGACTCCAGCGGTGGAACCGTCCCAGGCACCACAAGTAGTGTCTCTGGCAGTGAGCCCAGGGTCACAACCTAGGTCCACCCAGAATAAAAGATGGTGCGGTTTATTCCACAGACTATGCCCTTGCTGGAGGGGTAGAGAACCCCCGCCCCACGGGCCTTGGTGTTAAGTCCCCAGAGTTCAGGGGTACTGCTGCGAGGAAGGGGGGCTCCTGGACACCTTACCTGCAGGGGACGCGAGGGCGGCTGTAACTGCAGGTGGCACTGACTGGGGGAGTACCAGCTGCCAAGGGCGAGGTAACTGGGCAGGTACTGGGCCCCCACGGGCTTCCCGTCCAGTGCCGTCACCTTGGTCTGAAGAACAGAGGACACACTTGGTCAAGGTCAGTGCGCCCAGCCTAGGAAGGGGGTCTTGGGTCTGCTTCTCCCTGCCCTGCCCGGGAGCAAGGCTCTCAGGTTCCAGTTTCCCTTTGGGGTCCAGCGTGGCCAGCCCGATTCCCCCCAGTTCCCAGAAGCGAGTGTTGAAGGCTGGCCCGAGGGTGCTGGGCGTCAGCTTGGGCAGCCGCGTGGAGCCCGACTGGACTCCAAACCACAGCTCCGACAGGGACATGCTGGAAAGCCCCCCGCCTCTCCTCCTGAGCTTGCTAATCGCCCTCGTGGCTTCTTGGAGGGGAAACCCACTTGGTGGATCAACACGGGAGCAGCCATGTTGGGTGGCACCCCAGGCTGGGACCCAGCTGGACCGCGGCCTTGCTCCTGCACACCACCAGCCCCCAGTGATCGGGTGACTTTTGCTCCCCTGGCTGGGATCACAGGCGTACGCTACAGAGCCTGGCTTCTGGAATATTCGTGATCTGCGCTGACTGACTCTGCAGACGCAGGACCTGCAGACCCTCGGGCCAACTGTCCTGTGTGTCCCAGCTCCCCAGAGAGAGCCCCGCAAGCGCCACAGCTGGAATCCTCCAGACCTCCTCCCGCGTGCCCCTCCCCTTGGACGGTCCTGATTTGTATCGTTCTGCGACTATAAAACTGCATTTATTTATTTTTAAACATATCTTTGTTTATTTATCTTTCTGTGGTGCTGAGGATCGAACCCAGTGCCTCACATGTGCGAGGCAAGTGCTCTGCCCCTGAGCCCCAGCCCCTGTCCTCACACCGTATTTATAAGGTGGTGGGGCAGCGGAAAGCCCTGAATTTGCAATCAGCTCAGAAGTGAGAGTGGCCAGGGGACCCCAGCCCTGTGGCCGGTGTCTGGATGAGGGCATCTGTGGAGGGCTGTGCCCATGACCCGAGCCGGGAGCCCGATTCTGATGTCAGAGATCACTGCGATCTCCCACCTGGTGGGCAGGCGGAGGGGCATCTCTGGTCCGTCTGGTGACCTCAGAGGCCCCAGGCTCTGGTCATTCTCTCACTGCCCCACAGGACCGTGGTTACGATGACCAGGCCGCTGTGCTCCGGGCTGAGTGGCCGTGACGCACAGACACACCTTGCTGAGGACGTCACTTGGTAAATTATGTGACTTCGGTGGCTAAGGTCCTTTAGGACATGTTGCTCACGAGAGGACAAAGGGACCACAGTGTCCGCAGTCCCCATGGTCATGTTTATCTCAGCTGCTCCCCGCTCCCCTCCACGCCAGGCTCGTGGGACAGTCACGTCACAGAGCCCGGGCTGGGACGTCTTCCTCTGTTGCTGTCTTCTCTCCCTTGCTGAGGGGACCCTGATCCTGCCAGCTCCACCTCCTCAGCAACTCCAGTTTGGTGGCCTCCAGCCTGCATGTGCCTTCCTTGGTCATTCCCTGCCACAGGCTCTTGAGTGATAGCTGTCTGTCAAAAATCGGCTCCTTGGGCCGGGCTGGGGCTCAGCGGTAGGCGCTTGCCTAGCACGAGTGAGGCCCTGGGTTCGAGTCTCAGCACCACGTAAAAATAAATAAATATCCATCAACAACTAAGAAAGTATTCTTAAAAATCAGCTCCCCCTCAATGTGACAGCAATGTTTTGATGTAGGGACATTCCTGTCTTTTCCTATCTCTTTCTAAAATGGCTCATCTGGCCAAGCACTTGTAGAACCCAATGACAGGCCTCCTCTGAGCCTCCGCACATGCTGTTCCACCTGCTGGAAGCAGCCTGGCTGGCCCTGCCACGGCCAGGAGTCCACCTGGAGAGACACCCCGTGTGACCGAGCCAGGCACCTCCCCCTCTGCCTTCCTCCCACGGATGGTGGGGTTCTCCGCCTCCAGCTTGCAGAGCCCCTCCCGCCCAGCCCAGAGGAGCGCCGTGGTTGGAGGACGGGGCCTGGGGACTCACCTACCTCTAGCCACACTCGCTGGGCTGACATGGGGATGGAGGGGATTTCGAACCGCACGAGCCCACCCTGGGACACGAACTCGCGGGTGTAGATGTTGTCCCTGGGCATCAGCTCCGCCTTGACCTGCACCGTCACGCCCTCGGCTGGGCTGCCGTCGGGGTAGGAGAGCTCCACCTGGAACAGGTCATCAGACAGGCTGGGGGCAGCACCGGACAGATGCTCCACACTCACAGACCAGGGCAACCTCATGGTCACGCTGGCCTCTTGGGGGCGGGGGAGGGGGGAGAGAGCGAGCAAGCGCGTGCGCCCAGCCTGTCCTCACATTGTCTGTCTTGCCATGGGACCTCTCCACGCATGGGCACTCCCGCCACGCTGCCTCCACCGTGATGGGTGTTGGTTGCTTTCTTTTGCAGGACTGGGAACTGAGCCCGGGGCCTCACGTATTCCAGGCAAGGGCTTCTACCATGGAGCCAGCCCTCCATCCCCAACCACAATGATGGGGCACCACCCGGGGGGACCCTTACTGATCAGCTTATGAATGAGACCAGCTGATCTTGAGCTTTCAGCCTCTAAAACTGTGATGTTAAAAAAAAAAAAAAAACTTTTTTCTTTATGTTCCCAGCCTCAGGTCTCAGGTATTTCATTACAACAACTGAAAACTGACTAATACCACATATATCCTCTTGGTCAGGTGTGAGAAGCTGCCCTCACCGAAGCTGCATTCTCTGAGCCCTTATTCATACACATTCTGCATCCACACAAAGTATGCGAGTTCCTACTCACACTGGGCTCTTCAAAGTGAGGAGGGGCATGCGCACTCATATGTGGGACTAAATAAATAATAAGTACATGTTCAACATGTGGATTAATGCCAGAGGTTCAAGAATGACACTCTACAGGGAATAAAGCTTGGTCACGCGCTGCCTAAGGTTGGGGTCACTGATAGAGCCAGACACGGTGGAGCACACCATGGTCCCCGCACTCAGGAGGCTGAGGCAGGAGGGCTGCAAGTTCAAGGCTGGCCTGGGCAACTCAGTGGGACCCTGGCTCAAAAACAAAATGCAAGCCCAGCACATGCAATATGTGCATCGCACTGGGTCAGCACACCGAGTGGCGTCACAGGTTGTGGATTCACCTGACCTTTCCGTTGCTGTCTCAGCGCGCAGTCTTCCTACTTATAAAGTAAGAAGTTTACTATAAAAGCAGCCTCAGGAGGGATCCCAGAAAGCATTCTGTTGTCATAGGATAGATCCCTGTGTTCCTGTCCCCAGAGACCTTCCAGTAGCAGATGTGGGGGTAGAAGATGGCGTCTTAGTTTTTATCATTTTATCTATTTCTTTTGCATACTGGGGATTGAACCCACAGGTGCTCCACCACTGAGCTACACCCCTAGTGCTTTTTAGTTTTTAAATTTTGAGACAGACTCTAAGTTGCTGAAGCTGGCCTCAACGGTGCAATCCTCCTGCCCCAGCCTCCCGAGTTGCTGGGATTACAGGCGTGTGCCACCGCGTCCAGCACGTCTCGGCTTTGAACAAAAATGTTTAAAAAGTAAAAACCAAAGGAGAGAAGGTCAAGCATCCCAGTGCCAAAAGGCAAGCTATGCCAGTGTAGGCAGAGGACCTGTCTTCAGCTCGGTCCCCACTGTGGGGCGGGGGGAAGCTCAGGGACGTTCCCCAAGGTACCTTCCCCACGTAGGCCAGGCCTGGCTTGAACTGTCTCCGCGTGTCCCTGGAGTAGCGGATGTCCACCAGCTGCCTCTGGACAGGGGTGGAGTCGTCGAAGGCCACCTGCTGACCCCCATCCACGCTGGTCACTGTGGCCCAGATGCTGACCCTGCCCCGGAAGTGCTCGGGGACGTCCACCGGGATCAGGTCCCTCACGCAGATGTCAAAGGCCTGGGAGCCCAGGATCTAAGGAGAAACAGGGTGCATTGGGGTGGACGTGGAGGACGCCACGCGCACCCTGGTCACACCCGGGCCTCCCGGCTGCTTGGAAGACACTGGGGACAGGCCCACTGTGCCCCTGGCTGAGGAGCCGGCTCCAGCCTGACCCCGAGCCTTCCTCGTGAGGACGACAAGCTGCTCGGCCACTTTCACTCGTTGCCCGGACAGAGATGGACCGTCCCCGTGGGCCCAGGCGCACTCACAGCCGGTGATGGGAGACGGAGGCCCCGTCCACACACGCGTGTGACACATGTGTGTCTGAGTGCCAGCACACGTGTGTAGGCCTGTCCGTGGGCATGTTGTCTCCATTACGATCAACCCTCGCTCGGCCCCAAGCCCCCACTCAGAGCCCAGCACTGCCCCCGCGGCCCCCACGCTGGGCGCCCTGGAGCCTGGTGGCAATCGACACCCAGAAATAGCTGGGACCAAGTCACTCAGGACATCAGAGACCCAGGACCAGGGCCACCGGGCAGCGGCCTCTGGGGAGAATGGCCGGACTGGGCAGGGAAGGGGTAGCGACTGTGTCCATCCCACAGAATCGAGGCCACCAGAGAGGGGGGGACGCACGGGGGCCGTTGTGTCCTGAGGAAGGAGCTTTAGGTGGGGTGGGGCGGATCGGGCACTGAGGGGTTAACCCCCACGTCCACGCACAAGGGTGTCCTGTACGTGGGACCCTGGGACACGAGGGGATTTAGCAACTCCAGAGGCACCTTCGGAGGCAGGAGTGCCCGGGGAGGTGCCCCTGGGGTGCATGGTCCACCCTCGACGCAGCCCTGGCTGAGGGACAGCTCGCGAAGCTTTCCACACAAGGGACCTAAGACGTCCTCACTCTGGCGGATCCTCAAAGACTGAACCCAGTGTGACCCTGTGACGGGCAAGTCCACCCCTAGGTATGCCCAGGATAAGCCACAACATGTCCACAGGAAAACGGCACATGGACGGTCACAGCAGCAGGGGAAACGGGTTTGGGGTGCAGCTCAGCGGTGCTCACAGTGGAAACGACCCAGTGCCCGCCAGTGGAGGGGTGGGTGGACCAACAGATTCGTACAGTGGAATGTTACTGAGTCATGAAAAAGAACGAAGCCCGGACTCAGGCTACAGCATGAACGAGCCTGGAAAAGGAGATGCTGAGTGACAGACACCACACACACAAAGCCACCTAAAGAGGAGGTCCATAGAGCTGGGGAGTCGAGGAGTGGTCGCCAGGGGTGGGGGAGGGGAACGGGCTCTAACTTTAAAGGGAACCGGGATTTGGGGAGACGGTAAAGAGTCACTCTGCCGTCCACGGTCCTTCACCCCTGGACTCCACCAACTGTAGGAGGACAGTATTCTTTTTTAATTGCACACGTGCTGAACACAGACCCCCTTTCTGGGCATCTGTCCCTGAGCAATGCCACTGTCCCTGAGCAATGCCCCAGAACAGCCATGCACTGAAGCCATCACAGGTGACTCCGAGTCCACGGGAGAACCCGCGAGGACCCGCGAGGCTTCTGAGCCAATAGGACAGTGTTTTGTAGAAGGGGCTGAGCGTCTGTTGGACTTTGGAATCAGCAGGGGGGCAGTTCCTGGGACCGTCCCGGGCAGAGACACAGGACAACCACGTTCTAAGCCAGAAAGCCGTGACGGCCACACCACCCGGTGACTGCAGATGCCCCTTGATTTATGATGGGGCCACGTCCCGGGCAGCCCAACCTGAATCCGCCTAGCCCCCCTTCAGGGCACTCGCGGGTACTGTCCCGGAGAGTCCCCTAAGCCGAAGCCTGTTTTCTAATTGAGCAGGGCCAATGTCGTGCACTTTCTCAAATTCAGCGTGCAATTCAAAACACAGGAATTATTTATTTCTGAACGTGGAGAACGTGACAGTTGCATGGTGTTGCCTTCACTACCCGAAAATGTCAAAAAAAAATCATGACTCAAACCATCGTAAACCGGGGACCGACTGTATCCAGAAAAAATCACTGAGCCGTCTACTCTGTGGACGAACTGATTGGTGTGAGAGTCATAGTATCTCATTAAAGCTCTCCCTATTTAAGTTGTATGTACGACATTCAGGGGAAGCTCATCCCCACGTCCACACAGATAGCCCTGCCTGTCGGAAGCCTTTATTTTCTTCCTTTTTATAAATGTTTAAAGCCTCTGCTCTGCTGACACGAACTACGTCATCAGGAAAATCCCCACCACGCAGCTTTCTTAGACAATAAAATGAAATTTATGAGGAAGAAACCGAAGCCGCGGAAAGGGACCACCGAGCCAGCCCCGCGGACCCTGCTCCTCACCTTCATAGTTCTGAGGACGGGGCGCCCCACCTCGTGGCTGTAGTACCCCACTCCGTGCACAGTCATGTTTATCGTTAAGGTCCCGGACACGGGCTTCCCAAAGGTGTACCTGGGACAAAAGGACAAAGGGTACCCAAATTCACAGGCAACCCCAAGGGGCCCCACCTCAGGAAGGTCAGTCTCGCAGGGTGTGGCCACTGGTACAGTGTCCGATACGATGCCCTGCCTCGTTCTGCATTCTGTCCCTCCAGCCCTCTCTGTAACCCTCTGCACCAGCTTTGCTTTTGATGGAAAAAGAGACAGATGGTCAGAGAGGAACTCGGCCCCTGAGAGCAGCAGGTTGGTGACACTGTTGGAGCAGGACAGTACAGAGGTGCCAGCAACCACGAGGACCAGCAGGACTGGGCTTGAGTTCCGTAAGCCATCGGCCTGGGGATACTGGTGAGACTTAAAGGTACTTTGTCACGCCTGACCCAGAAGGGACACCTACTCACAAGGATCAGGAACATCATGGGAGACGGCAGTGAGTGCCACACTTCCTAGACTGTAAACGTGGGCGCACTGGGGCTGTCATGGGATGGGGACACACAGCCAGGGGAGCTGCAGGCTGGGAGGGCCTCAGCCACAACCTCTGAGCGGGTGGCACAGTTGGGGCGGGGGTGGGGAAGCTCGAGGGCGTCCCCAGCACCCCAGGAAGAGAGAGCACTTCTCGACCCCTTCAGGTGAGCTTGAGCTGTGGGCTTGTCACCGCCGGGTCATTAGGTGACAGGTGGGGGGGGCACTTACAGCTGATGGTGCAGGGGCCTGGGGGGGTGGGTGTGAGGAACCCTGGGCCAGGGAGGCAGGAGAGGGACAGGAGACCCCTTCCTCCAGGGGGGGGGACACCTGTGGGTGGGGGGTCCTGGGGGAGGCACATGGGGGGCTCGGAAAGGAAGCTGCTCAAAGGGAAGGGGCTGCCCGTGTAGGAGAGGGGACAGCATCAGGAGGGCACGGCAGCGAGGGAAGGGGACGGGCAGGGACCCGCAGGGCCCTCGTCCTCACCTGGCCTGCACAGCGGCCTTCTCACAGGCGTCCAGGTCTCGGATGTACGGGGGAGGGGCGATCAGGAGCTCAAATCTGGGCAGCACTGTCAGAGCCCAGAGGAGAGACGCGGTGGCCTCGGGAACCCAGGGCAGGGGTCTGGGGACAAGAGCAAAGCCGCACGCCGCCCCCTCCCCAGAGGGGATGATGCACGTGTCCACACTCCCTCCGAGGAGCGGCCTGGGGGACTCGGCTGGCCTGCACCGCTCCTGCCCCGGGGGAGGTCAGGGACGCTCTCCGGGGGCTCCCACCGCACCCAGAACGTGGGCTGGGATGTGGCTGATCCTGGCCCGTCCAGGGGAGGCCAAGTGGCCACCGGGATCCTCCCTGTCCCTACGACTCCCGGGAGCCATTGAGGGTTGTCTCTAGGATGACGACCACTGGGGGCCAGGCCCTCTCCCCTGCTCCCTGGCACTAGGAGCCATCTTGTCACCTTGCAGCCAGGGGAGGGGCCACCACCTGGGACCAGCACCCAAGATGCTAGACAAAGGGACGATTCACATCCAAGGCAGGGGATGTCATCACCACCCAGAGTGTCATGCCATTTAAAATGGATGAGCTGTTTATTTCTGGAATTTTCCATACACTATTTTCATTCTGTTGCCGACCTGCAGGTGGCGCTGTGGGTGACGGGAGCCACACCAACTCCCTGCCGTGGCCAAAGGGCATTTGCACTGGCTGCCGGTGCCTACAGTCCCATAGCCAGGCGGCCAGGACCCTCCTCCAGGGACAAGGCCTTCCTCTTTTTCTTTTTTTTAATTAAAAAAAAATTTTTTTAGTTGTGGATGGACACGGTCCCCTTATTCTATGTATTCTTTTCCTGTGGTGCTGAGGATGGAACCCAGAGCCTCCCACGGGCCAGGCAAGCGCTCTGCCCCTGAGCCACGGCCACAGCCCTCGGGCCCCGGGAGAGGGGGGCGGCACCGAGGCAAAGAGGGCAGCGTGGCCGGGCCCTCCTCAGCCCCTGCCCTCCGAGCCGGTCCCCAGGCCCCCGCCGCCTGGTTCTTCCCCTGCTCAGCACAGGAAGCCCACAGAGCGTCCTTACGAAGGGAGCCCAGCTCCTGCTGTGGCCAGGACGGACCCCGAGGGCCCCGAGGGCCCCGAGGACACCGTGCTAAGCCAAAATAAGCCGTCGCTAAAGGACTGAAGCGCTGGCCCTCCACACCCGGGGGACCTGCCTCCGTGGGTTCAGACCCAACTGAGGACCGAAAAGAGTCAGGAAAACGTTGCCCCGTGTTGAACGTGCGACCTTCTCCTCCCTGTCACGTGTCCCTAAATAGCTCAGCCTAACTGTTTCCGTAGCACGTCCGTTTCGTCAGGTGTCCCAAGTCACCGAGAGAAGACTCAGGCCTACGGGAGGGTGTGTGAGGTCCAGGCAAACACCACACAGGTGTCCCTGTGGGCTCCAGAGTGTGGACTTGGGTGTCCCCAGGGACCCTGGAACTGACGCCCCGGCTGCACTGTCAGGTTCCACTTCTGTGAGGTCCCTAGAGTTGTCACATTCATAGGGACCCAAAGTAGAAGGGTGGTGAGCAGGGGCGGGGGGTGGGGGGGGGCGGGGCGCGAGTGTCCAGAGGGGACAGTATGTCAGGGAAGTCAGGCAGCTCAGGGGCTGGAACTGTGTCAGGGCTGTGAACCCTGGGAATGTATTTAATGTCCCCTCATTGGCCACTGAGAAATGGTGACAGTGGCCAATTTCCTGTTATGTATCTTTATCAGCCACACTTAATTTGGTGGGGGGTATCAGGGGTTGAACTCAGGGGCACCTGACCACTGACCACACCCCCAGCCCTATCTTGTCTTTTATTTAGAGACGGGGTCTCACTGAGTTGCTTAGGGCCTCGCTGTTGCTGAGGCTGGTTTTGAACTCAGGATCCTCCTGCCTCAGCCTCCCCAGCTGCTGGGATTTCAGGCCTGTGCACCATGGCACCCGACCGGCTCAAATAATTTTTAACAGGACCAGGACCTGCTCAGCAGCTGATGAGCCCTCGTGACTGGGGATGGGGCCCTCCTCCAGCCGCTTCCTCCCTCCCCCCAGGTGAGGACCCCCAGGTCTGAGCGTCCCCTCTTACCGTACTTCTGGACCTCAAAGGACCTGTTGTACAGGTGGCCCTGCATCTCCACAAAGACGAACCACTCCCCCAACACGGGCTGGTCGGACAGGGGAAAGCTCATGTTGGTGACGCCTGCGAGGAGAGAGACGCCCTTCGTGCTCCGGGGGACCTTGGCAGAGAGCCACCAAGGGGCCCAGTCACTGTGGCCAGTGGTGACGTCCAGGAAGGGGGACCCGGGGACCCGGCTCCTCCCCCTCCCTGGCAGCCCTCGGGGGAGCTGGAGGCCACCCAGGGCCAGGGGTGGGTGTCTGTGGGGGCAGGACGTGCAGGGCGGCCAGCGGGAGCAGGTCCTCAGCCCCCTCAGGGCGAGGCTGCCCCTCAGGTTCCCGGAGGCGCCCTGCAGCCAAAGCCGGGACCCCGCGAGGGAGATGGGGGTCCGCTCCCCAGCTCGGCCCCCACCTGTCGTTCCCAGCCTTGGCTGAGACACCCAGGGCGGGTGGTTCTCTGTGCACTGTGGGGTGTTGGGAGCGTCCCTCACCGTCCCCCAGATGCCAGGTCCCAACCCCCAACATGATGACCTAAGAAGTCGCCAGGCTTTACCAATATCCCTGGGGGAGGGAAGTGGGTCCTGGGTGAGAATCACTGAGACACGTGGATAGGATGATAAGTGGGTGACAGACAGACGGACGGACAGAACAATGGGTGGTAAATAGAAGAATGGATAGAATCATTGATGGGTGACAGAGCCGTGGAGGGGTGGTCAGACGGACAGAGGAACACCGCTGAGAGGGAGAAGGGACCACAGGTCACAGGTAGGGGATAGGTAGATGACAGCTAGCCTCCGAGTTGGGATCTAGAATGTCCCCGAATCTCGTGTGCTCAGAGGGGGGTCCGGGGAAGCAATCGACCACCGAGGGCTTTGACTTCATCAGCGGCTGAATCCACTGACGGCTGAAGGGTCTCCCGGAAGGTGAGACCCGGGGGAGGAAGCAGGTCCCCGGGGGCACCTCTCGGCCGAGGCAAGGTGGACACGTCAGTTACGTGGCCCTAAATGTCACAGAGAAAAATAAAGAGCGCTCCCTCGGCCGAGGCAAAGCTTTCCCAACTGCTAGAACCAGCAGGGGTGACGCGGGCAGCGACCCGCTGGGGAAGGTGGAAGCCACCGACAAGGCCCAGTGTCCCGGAAAGATCTGGAGCCCCCGGTGGATCCTGGCCACCAAGAAACGTGCTGCAAACCCCAGGGAGGAGGGGCAGGCCAGCACTCACCGCAGCATGGCGTCTTCAGGCACCGCCACTCCATCACCCGAGAGCCGCGGGGGTCCTGCACGGGTGGGTGCACAGGGCGGGCTCAGGGCAGCTGGCCTGTGCCCGACGCGGGACCCTCCCCGGCCCTCGTAGGCATGAGTGCAGGAAGGACGGCCCCGGGGAGGGCTGGGGAAGGGGCTCCCTGAGGACTAGGGGCAGAAGGGGCCGCGCTGAGACCCCTCCTGTTGAGGGAGCTGTGTGCAGAGGGACCCAGAGATGGGGCCGACCCAGGGACCAGGACAGGCTGGGCCCCCCCTGTGAGGCCCTGGGGCGGGTGGGGAGGGTCCACAGAGTAAGACCCGACCCTGCAGAGGGCAGGCTGCGGCCCCCAACAGAATCGAGGCGGGTCGTGGCCACTCACCAGGACGTACGCGTCCACCTGCAAGACAGACACAGGCCGTGAGCACACCTGCCAGGAGGTCCCAAACCTCTGTGCCTGATGCGTCTTCAGGCCCAGTTGCTGCTACAGGCTGAATTTTGTCCCCCAAAAATGTTGAAGTCGACCGTGGTTGTCGGTGGCTCGTCACCCCCAAAGACTTATCTTGAAATTTAAGGCCCCATGTAATGGGGTCAAGAGGTCGTGGGACTTTAAAAGGCGGTTGGGTACGCGGGCTCCACCTTCCTGTTTTCATGGGGGTGGGTTGGTTCTTGGGAGACGGGTGTTCTAAAAGGTAAGTCTGGTCCCTCCCCTTCTCTTGCTTCTTGTCTCACCACGTGGCCCCTGTCTCTTGAACACTGCCACCATGTGATGCCATCTCCCCTGCTGTGACATAGCCAGGAGGCATCCCCAGAGGCCGGATCTTGGATTTCAAGCCTCCAAAACTGTCAGCTAAATAAACCCCCTTTTAAAAAAAAACAAAATATCCAGCCTCAGGTATTTTGTTATAGCAACACAAAATAGACTAAGACAATAAGTCTGCACAAAAATGAGAACAAGTGCCTAAGAGTATCCAGTGAAGCCCGACATGGCGCCTCACACCTGTCATCCCAGCAACTCTGGAGGCTAAGGCAGGAGGATCGCAAGTTCAAGGTCAGCCTCAGCAACTCAAGAGATTCTGTCCCAGGATCAAAAGGGGCTGGGGGTGTGGCTCCGTGGTAGAGCGCTTACGTTATTTTCTCGTGTATGAGTCCCAAGGCGGGATCCAAGCCTGCTCTTCTTGGTGACATACCACCCAAGCTGTAGGGCCAGCCTGGCCCACAGCAGGCAACTCTCCCCCGTTCCCCTGGGGATTCCTGAGCTGCAGATGCCGCTGGGCACATTCACGTCTCTGCCCTGTCTACGCACACGTCACTTAAACCTCTTTCTGTGCACACCCTGCCGTTTCCAAAGCTCCTTCCTGCAGCAGAATGACAACTAATCAACACAATCTGTGACCTGGGGATGCTGGAACTATCCGTGAGCCTCTAAGGGGGCCAGGTGTCCATGAGGTCTCAGGCGTCCCTTCAGAAAACTGATTGAGGACAAAGGGACAATGGGGACTTTGCAGAGGAGAAGCCAAGCAGAGGCTCCCCAAGCCACAGTGGACACCCCAGCACGGGACGGGCCCACGTCGGGGTCTCCTGTCCGTTGCACGGGGACGTCCATCGCCCTTCCTGCTGAACCTGCTCACCAGGAGCGGGCAGGCCAGTCTCCCGGAGGACAGGTGGCAAAACGGCTGCCTGGACGCTCCAAAAGCGTCATCATCATCGTGGTGGACACACAGGGGCCGCGGGAACTGACCCCGACTACAGAACGAGAAGCTTGAATGCCGCACGGATCCAGGATCGGAGTCTCGGCCGGCAAAGAAACACGGCAGAGAGGTTGTCATTGGGCGCCACGGGTTCTATATCCCTGTTATTGTACCAGTGTCAAAATTTTTTAAAGTGACAGTTTTTGTTTTTTTTTTCCCCCCTTTGGACAGGGGATCGAACCCAGGGCACTTGACTACTAAACTCCACCTCCAGCCCTTTCTTATTTTTTATTTTGAGACGGGGTCTTGCTGTTTCTTAGGACCTCGATAAGTGGCTGAGGCTGGCCTTGAACCTGGGATCCTCCTGCCTCAGCCTCCTGGGATGCTGGGACGACAGGCACATGCCACCGTGCTGGCTGTTCTTGGGTTCGTAAAGGATACAGGCAGTCACATTCAGGGGTAAGGAGGGACAAGGGGGAAGTGCCAGGTGTCCAGCAGGTGGCTCAGGTGTGCTCAGGTGTGCACTTTCAGAAAGCAATCTCACCTTCCCATGGACAGGCCTCAGGTCTGGGGACACGGTGAAGACGTTGACGTGCACTGGAAGGAAGAGGAGAGATGAGGGCAGCTCCAGGCCGCGCCCCCCCCCCGCCCCCACTGCCCCGCGGGCCACCCAATACCTCGGTGCTGGGGCCTGTACACGGGCTTGTCGGTCTGGATGAACACAGAGGCCCCTCGGCTGTCCACCGTCACCGAGGTCTGGTTGTGGAAGAGGGTGCCCGCTTCTGCCCGCGGGCTGTGGCCCTGCACCCTCAGGAGCGCCTGGCCGCGGAGGCCCGTGGGGACCTAGGAGCACAGCACACAGCCCCAGGATTAGGGGTCCCCCTGGTCAGGGCGGAGACGCTGGGAAAGCAGTTTGGAGGTCTAGAAAGGGGGCGCTCGCCTGGAGTGACTGCTCCCCAGGGGACACCTGGCAGTTTCTGGAGATGTTTGGGGGGTCCCATGGCCCCCCAATGCAAAGAAGGACCCCTCGCCACCTGTCAGCTGCTCCACGGCTGAGAAACGCTGGCCTAGGTCGGAGCTGCCGTGTCCTCTGCGTCACCACAGTCACCGAGCTCTTTGACTCACCAGTGGGGAGAGCTAGAAGAACCGTCACCGGTTTTCCCCAAGTGTGTTCACCGTGGGGGACAGGGGACAGGGACACAGAGCCCCGCCCCCGTATACACGGACACGTGTGTGAGCTACATGTGTTTGTGTGCTCGTCATCCTCGGTGTCGAGGGGCTTCGGTGCCAGGACTCCCCAGGAGACCCAATCCAGGGGTGATCAAGCCCTTCGGATAAGGGAGCATAATATTTGCACGGCATCTCCCTGCTTTCTCCCTTGGACTTCAATCCTCTAGAGGACTCGCACCTCCTCAAACAATGTGAATGCTATGGACGAGGTTGATTGACTGAACTATTAGGAAATCATGACAAAAATATCTGTTCACATTTGGTGCAGAAGTGATTTTTTGTTCAAGTATTTTTTATCCGCCCGCGGTACAGAGGATGGACGGCGGCTACGGGCTGTATAATATTCCATAAGACGCCTCTCTGGATTCCTCCCTCTAGAACACGGCGGCACAGTCTGGGCTTGTATTTCTGTGAAGCAGAACAGGAGGATCCACAGGGACGGAAGCGGATCCGTGGCTGCCGGGGCTGGGGGGCAGGAGGGCAGCGCTGATGGGGACAGGGTCTCCTTTGGGGGGTGCAACGGTCTGAGCTAGACCGAGGGGGTCGTAAAGCCCTGAGAATGCATCCAGAGCCGTTTTAAGATGGCAAAACAGAAGAGCGAATGGCCCACTTTAAAACGGTGAAAAGAACAGGAAATGTTTTGCCCCATTTTGCAACGACCCCGGCCGAAGCTTCACGGGGGGCCTGTGCTCATTATTCAGGGGCAGAACCTTCTCAGTTCTCCTGTTTTGGGGGGCGGTGAGCAGACCCCCGGGTGCGAGCCTCGCTCTCCAAGGCTCCCTTCAGCTGAAGGCGAACAGGCCTCCCCCCTCCCGACGAGACCCACGGCCCCACCACGGCCCAGGAGCTGGGGTGGGAGCTCCTAGGCCATCCAAACGCAGAGCGCTCCCCTTCCAGGGTCTCATGGCCGCGTCCCCTGGGGTGGCCCCGTGGGCGGCTGGACATCCTCCTCCCACCATGGACGCACACAGCCTCCTGCCCGAGTCTCCGGCTGGTCTCAGGGGTCTGCGCCGTGGTGCCCACTGCACAGATGAGGCCGGGTGTGGCAGGACCCCCAGTCCCGGGCACCCAGGGCTGGCCAGTCCCCACTCCATCCCCAGCCTCCTCCTCCTGCCTGCTCTGGGCAGCTTCAGGGAGGGCCACCTGCCTGCGGCCTTCAGGGCCTGTCTCTAGACTGTGGTTTCCTCTCAGGACCAACCGTGGGGACAAACCTCACCCCGTACCCCAATCCAGAAATCCTTACCTGCCCTGATTCTGGAAACTTCTCCACTTAGGCCAAAGGCTACAGAGAGAGGAAAATGTCCTGACCACCTGGGAACAGGGCTCGGAAAGAGGGGGACAGGTACTGCACCTCCAGAGGACTTGGCTTCCTTCCCGGGGACACAGCTGTCCCCTGGAAGAGAAGACTGCAGCCCCGCCCCCCGTGGGTTCCCCTGCCTTCCTTGTACACAGTGACCCCGTGGGGCTCCACGGCTGGGGCCGGGTGGCTGAACCGCCTCCTCCCGGTGGGTGAGGTCACCCGGGAGGTCTTCAGAGGGGCGCCAAGCGTCTCCTGCCCAGGGCGTTTGAGTGCTGAGCCCCGTCACACGTGGCCCTGAGACACAGTGACTCGACCCAGGTCACAAAGGCTGCAGGGCTGCTGGTCGACAGCTCAAAACAGTGTCCTCTTGGTCCTGCACCTGCCAGCCCTCAAAGGTCTTTCTAGAATGTTCTAGACAGCAGATCCCCCTGCTGTGACTTGGATATGGTTTCACAACATCCCCTTCATGTGCTAGAATCTTGGTCCCCAGAGCGGAGATGTTGAGAGGTGTGGGGACACTTGAGAGGCGGGGCCGATGGAAGGTCAGTGGGGACAGTGCTCTTGGGCCTCAGGTCAGTTTCCACAAGGGGAAGCTGGCGTAGTGTGAGCCTGGCCCTGACTCTCTGGCTTCCTGTCTCACCACGTGATCTCTCCATCTGGTACGTGCTCCCACCATGATGTCATCTGCATGGTGGAACCCAACCAAAGGGACCTTCACCAGTGTCTGAACAGATGGTGCCCCCATCTTGGACTTTTGGTCTCAAAAACTGTGAGCGAAATAACCTTTTTTTTTCCTTTATAAAGCCCCCATCCCTGGTACTTTGTTATAGCAACGAGAAATAGACTGATATACCCCTCCCTTCCTGACCTCAGTGATCCAAGTTCACTCATTTAACATCGCTGACACCAAAGGGCTTGGGGGCTGAGATCCAAACACAGGAGACAAGGAAGATCCACCAACGAGGTGGCCAGGACAAGTTAGTCCGCTGGAGGCCAAGAGCAAAGGTGGAGATTCCAGGAACCAAGTAAGGAAGAGGCCCCTAGGCCCAGGTCCCCGTGGGAAGGCTGGTTGGCGGTCATCTCACCCGACTCCAGCAGACACCCAGAGGTAGCTGACTTTACTCTGGGCCCAGCCCTCCCCCCTGACAGGCCAGGGCGGCCCTCACAGATCCAGGTGGGTCTTGTACTAAAGGACACTGTTCTGCCCTCCTCGGGGGTCTGCAGCCCAGCCCACTGCTCTAGCCCATTCCTTGCATGTGGCCCTGGTGACCAAAGGAAGGCAGGCGCGGCCGAGTCCAGAGACTAGAAGCCTCTCCCACTCTCTGCAGGAGCTCTGGGGCTCTCTCTGCTCCAGGCCAAGGCCGCCTCTCTTTTTCTACTTCCTGCCTCAGGGCCTTTGCACTGGCCATCTCTTCTTCCTGGAATGCCTTTCCCCTTGTGACCTCTGCCTAAAGGTCACTCTCCCTGTCATGGACAGTGTGGCTCTACTCTGCTACCCCCTCAGCATTCTCTCCCCTCCTCTGCTATATTATAAAATAAAATCACAGACCTCCTACTGTGTTCTGACCCGCCCTTCTGCCTGCCACCAGCTGAGCACGTGACACGGAAAGCAGGAACGTGTTCAACTACAGGGCCAGCTCCACAGGCTTCTGAGAGAGAAATGCCACTCAATGCATCAGATATGTCCAAGAATCAGAAGGAAGCAAGCATCCCTGGGTTTTAGGTATGCTTTCTAGAAAGTTCTGGAAAGTTCTACTGAGAGCCTCTACGCAGCATCTTGCTGCAATGAGAGGCCAAGACTCAGACTGGACAGGGCCTGCCCACAGTGCCCGATGCTGATGGGGGTCCCCACAGTGCCAGCTTCCAAACTGCCCACCTGAAGCTCCTGTGTGCCCAGAGGAGTCCCCTGGGCAGCTGCTCTGGTCTGGGTGAGTGTCCCCGGAGGGCCACGTGTTAAAGGTGGTACTTTGGGGTGTTGCAGGGAACCTTTGGGAGGTGGAGCCTTGGGGGAGGTTTTTAGGTCATTGGGGGTGTGACCTCAAAGGGGCTTGAAGACCCAGGTCTCTGCCATCTTCCTCCTTGCTCTAAGTGGTTTTGCTCCACCTTGCACACCTGCCATGATGCAATACCTCAACAAGCCCAAAGCAGTAGGGCCATCTGATCGTGGACAGAAACTTCCAGAACTACAGCCAGAATAAACCTTTTCTCTTTAAAAGTTAATTATCTCAAGTACTTTATTATAGTGATAGAAAACTGACTAACACAGCAGTGGAACAAAGAGGGGATCCTGCACCCACGAGAGCAGTGTTGCTGTCATCTGACACCCAAACCCTCATTCCACAGAGCAGAATTCTCAGCCTCGACACTGTTGACATTTGGGGCCAGATGGTTCTTTGCCATATGGGCTGTTCTGACCACTGCAGAAAGTCTCCCAGCATCCTGGGCCTCCAGCCACTTGGTGCTGATAGCAGCAGCCCCCTGTACAATTGTGACAACCATAGACGTCCCTGGACATTGCCAGAGGGGGAGAATCTCCTCTCCAGAGCTATGCTGAGTGCTACATCTTAAGCCTCTTTCTTGGAAGTCTCAGGCAGTCTCCAGTCCAGTCCTGAGATCTGCTGGACGCCCCTCAGCATGCTACAGCCCTTCCTCGATGTCTCATGCAAATCCCCAGCACATATGCTACAGTGTGCCCTCTTAGGTAGGACGGCGGGGGACGCACATGGTCTACACATCTGTCCAGCCGTGTCTGATGTCACGAGACAGCAGATCTCGTCACAGGAAGCTGGCCAGGGCAGCTCTGGGCCTCTATTCAGGGTTTCCCAGCTGTGGACCTTTGGGGCTTGCCCTTCTCTGGTGGGGGCTGTCCTGTGCACTGAAGGACACCCAACAGCCCTGGCCTAGACCCAGTCAATGTCCAGGAGTGACCCCTACTCAGTCAATGTCCCCAGGCATCACCCAAAGCTCCCTTGGGGTGCGAGTGGAGGGCAAACCATCCAGTGGGTGAGAACAGGGCCCTGGAGGAAGGCTTCTCACCACAAACAGGCTGGAGGGGTCTGGGTGGAGCCGGGGGTGCAGGGTCTAGCATGCCAAGACCCTGGGCTCCATCCCGGCTCAGCTCTGCAACAGAGAGGCAGTGGGGGGAGTGGGGCAGGAAGACCACTCCCCAAAGCGATTAGACGCTGATGACGTCCCAGTGGGGAGGAGCCCCTGGGCCCTCACCCACCCCCACCTCAGGGCTGGGAACGCGGTGACGGAAAGTAGCCCAGTTGCTCGTGGACTTCTTGGAGCACCTGGTAAGGGTTAGGGACAGCTAATGCAGACAAGGCCTGCAAACTCCCTGAAACCCAAGGACTCCATGCAGAGAGTGACTACAGTGTAGTTTGGAATGTAAAATAATTATTAAATAATAATACTAATGCCGAAGAGGCTGGGGGGAACCTGGTCCCTCCTGGTCACACAGCAGGTGAAGCCGTGAATGGGTACTACAGTACCTCCCAGGACAAAGCACCACCAGCCCGAGGCCCGGATCCTGACCTCAGAATTCTTCTTGTGGAGTGTTTAGCCTAAAAAGGCTTCCAGAAGACCAACGCTGCCTTCCACACAAAAGTGCCGGCCACTTTTAGATTCTGATATCAAAACTCAGTAAACAGGGCTGGGGCTGTGCAGGGAGAGCGCTTGCTTAGTACGTGGGAGGCCCTGGGTTCCATCCTCAGCCCCAATAAAAATAGGTAAATAAAGTAAAGGTATCGTGTCCATCTACAAGTAAAAATTTTTATAAAATAAGTAAAAGCTTATTTTTAAAAAAACTATGTAAACTTTTTTTCTTTTTCTTTTCTTTCTTTTTTTTTTTTTTTTTTTGGTGATGCTGGTGCTGGGGGTCAACCTAGGGCCTCGCACACCCTAGACAAGGGCTTTACCAGTGAGTTCCACCCCGAATTTTTCTCATTTGCAGTTTCTTTTAGTTGTAGATGGACACAATACCTTTTATTTATTGATTTGTGTTTCTGTGGTGCTGAGGATCGAACTCCGTGCCTCGCACAAACAAACCTATGGGGCCGGGTGTGTCGTGAGCGGTGAGCGCCTGCCTGGCACGCTCAAGAACCCGGTTCCACCCCCAGCACCAAAAAAATAAAGTAAAACCTATGTACAAGGTGGGGTTCGTAAATTAGCCCAGATGAGGACAACAATAGAACCCGGTTCACAATAAGATGCAAATCACAGTCAGAGACCGAGAAACACAGAAGCAGGTTGGTGACAACATGTTAAAAGGAGACAGAAGCCCGCAGAATCTCCCCTTCAACGGTCACTGTGGAGCCACTGTCTCCGTGTGGACAAGGATCTGTAGGAACCACGAAAACGTGAGCCGTGGGGGTGGGATCACGGCGACTTTCACCTTCCCCACCTTCCTTAATCGTTTTTTTACGATTCACGATTTTTCTCACAACACAAGCAACTTCTCCTGTTCCACTGCATTCCATCCTTTCTTTCCAAGGTAGGGCTTATGATTTTTAAAATTCTCGGCTTACCTTGAGTTTGATGGTTCCTTTATCTAAAAAAAAAGAAAATGAAGAAAGTTAAATCGAAACTTCTGGGACTGGCAGATGTGAGAAGTTTTCTCCAAGATGGCGGGAGGTGAAGGCTGGCGGGGACAGGCCGTGCTGGGCTACTCAGGGGGCAGCTGGCCTGTCTGCCTACTTAATTCACCTCCCCCCAGCCCTGCCCAAAGTGAGCTGTGAAGGAAGTAAAGAGAAAACACCAGGGGAGAGGAACAAGACTGGTGGAGAGAAAGAAGAGGACACTGAGGTCCCAGTGGAGCCCAGCCCAGTAGACTAGAACTGCTCTCCCATCATGCCCTCAGCTCTTCTATCTGCATGGAGTCATTTGAGGCTCTCACACCTGTCCTGGGCTTTCTGGCCTCCAGGAATTGATTAGGTATCTATAGTTTGTGCCTCCTGGTATCCATTCCTTATTTCTTGCTAACAGAACCCCAAATTCCTTGGGAGAGCCACTTTCCCAGTTCCATGGCTCAGAAGGGCAGTACCCACAGTCCCTTGGGGCTCTGTGCTCATCTGCATAGGCCTTCCTCCTGGTCCCAGGGATTGGATCAGGGTTGAGCACGTGACCCAAGATCCACCAATCAGAGGCTCCATCTTCCCATCCTGGGAAATGGGCACTCGCCCTGGTCTTCGGAGAACAGGCCCCACCAGGATTTGGGACAAGGATCCAGTCATGGCAGCCAGTGGGCTTTCTTTCTGCTGTTGGTAAACGCGCTCCTGCTGAAGTCAACGTGAACTGGGTTTGGGGGCTGGCAGCCAGGAGGGGCTGCCTGTGGATGTCCCCAGCTTCCACACACCACCCCGGGGGCAGGCGCAGCCTTGCTGGCCTCAGGGCCCCGGGTGTTGGTCTGGGTCCCTGTGCCCAGGCTCCGCCTGAGCAATGAGACTGCTGGTTCTGCAGGACAGCCAGCTCCGCCCAGGAGGCCACCACCCTTCTCCCCTGTGTCTGACTAAGGGCCAGAGGCTGGCTGGGAGCCAGTGCCACACAGTGACAGACCTGAGAGCCCAGGTCTGGGTCTGATGGCATCGGGGTGCTGGAGCACAACAGGACCATGAGGTCCCCTCCAGGTCCCCTGTCCTATCTCTGGCCTGGGTCTGCACCCCCAGAACCAGGTCCACTGAGGACCAAGGCTCTCTGGATATTACGCCCCGACTGGGCAGGGGACTGGCCCTCTTGGCCCTCACCCTCTCGTCTGCCCCGCTGGGAGACCGCAGCCTGCCCTCCCCCCTCCTCCCAGGATGTGAAGGAGGAGAAAAACAAAGTGACTCCCAAGGTGCCCCATCCCTGGGGACTGGGTGGCTCCGCTTTGGAAAGGACAGGACCCCGGGTCGGGCACTGGAGGACCTACCCAGGATAGCTCCCTGGCTCTGGGCCACCGCCTGGCCCTGGGCCACCAGCTGAGCCTGGACGGTGACTTCCCTTGGGGAATCAAAGATGGTCACACTGATGACTTCCTCCACTCCCGGGCGGAACACAGAGGGCACAGCGATCAAATAGCCCCTACAGGAGAGGAGAAGGGAGATGAAGGTCCGATCCGCCCCGGACTGGCCACACCCTGGCTGCGCCGGGGAACCCTCTGGAGGCAGACTCCCATCTTTTCCTGACCACCCCTGGTTGACACTGCCGCTCTGTGTGTCTGCATCTCCCACCGTCCCGGAGGCCTTGGGTTGACTTATCCACCCTGAAGCCCCCATGTTGGGTGAGAATCTGGCCTCACGGGACCAACCCAGCATCACCACCAACCATCACTCTGTATCCTGGCCTCTGGCCTCCTTTCTCTGTTTCCTTCTGCCTCAGGACCTTTTCACATGCCATGCCTGGCCTCCAAAATGCTCTCCTCCATAAGGCAGGTCACCAGCAAGATCCCACGTCATCCTGACAGCCGTCATGTCAGCAATGTCACCATTACCGCATTTACAGAGCCAACAAGTAAGCCCCAAGGAGGGCAAGCCGTGTTCCCCAGTCAGCAAGAGACCAGGCGGCTGGACCCTGACTTTACAAAAGCCCTCTGATTGTCTAAGACATTTCTGGAAGGCAGGGGTCATTCTCCCACTTTTCTGATGGGAAGCTGACTCTCCAGAAGGATAAGGCACAGGCACCAGATCACACAGCCAGGCAGGAAATGGTCCTGAGTCACCTAACCTGAAGACCCGGGTCCTCCCGGCCTGAGCTCCTGCATCCCAGTATCTGCACCCTTCCGTGGAAAAAGCACAAAGTTTCTGTCACTACACAAAATGTCCTGGCAGGTGCCAAGAACCTAAGCAACAACAATCTAATCCCAGCCATGCAGACTCTGGGTACCAGAAAGAAAAAGACTAAAAAGAAAATGGACCAGGCCATGAGATTAGACTTTCAATTCCTCAAAGATCTTCTCCGTGATAATATCATGTCCACATGCAGAAAGATGGATTTAGACCCTTACCCCACACCATACACTAAGACTCAAGTAAAGTGGGTCCTAGCTCTGATGTTAAGAGATAAAAACTGTAGAAACACTAGAAGAAAATACAGGAGGAAGTCTTTGTGAACTTGGGTTAGGCAAGGATTTCTCAGATAAGAGGCCAAACGCACACTCCATAAATGCATCTGAGAACGGGGCTGCATTAAATCATCATTAACGATGTTCTGTTCCAAAAGACAGCATGCGTGTGGGGTATCTGCTGCTGGCTGCAGGGATGGCCACAGTAGGCAGTGACCCCAGGATCATGCTGCGCTCTCTGCTTGCACAGTGGCCACAGTTCAGTCCCTCGGGATCACGCATAGGTACAGCCTCAGGACCGACCAGAGCTTGCAGTGACCTTGGGTATATGTTGTGTACAATCTAATCCTAGCACTGCCCGGCACAGACAATGACCTTGGGTTTGAAGGTGTCCTGCCCAGCTCCAGCACGGGAACATGGCTTCCTTCAGGACAGAGTGTTCCTGTCTGACTCCCGAGAGTCCCTAGAGTTTACAGAGGTCTTCCATTTAGCACGTGCGGAGACCGGGAGATCATCTGGTGAACAGACCATCATATCCGTCTTCCTTGGTTACTTTCCCAGGTAACCTTCCTTGGTTTCCTTGGTTACCTACCCCCGATCTGGACTACAGTCTTCATCCAGCTGCCCAGAGAACTTCACATGACCAAACCCGCCTCTCCTGCCGCTCCGAAGTTGCAGCTCTATGCAGCTGTCGGGAAGTTTTGCCAACCAAGCGCTATCATGCCCTGACCCACCTGCCAACACCTGGGCTGACACTGTCTCCTCTCCTTCTCCTCTCCTGGGTCTGAGATGGTCCCAGACTGGGAAATAGGATGTTTGGTTAAGCACGGACAGAACTGGCCTTACGACAGTATGCAAACTTACACGGCTCAGGTCACAGGAGCGGGTAGCCAGAGCTATTCCAAATGACACAGAACTTAGGCTAGATGAACTGTGGCCCCGGCTTAGAGGCCAGCTAATCTGATACCCTGGGTGGGTTATTTTTGGGGACTTCTCTTCGCGATGATGCCTCCCAGAATGAAATTTCTTTTGACTCAGTAGATAAGACCTCAGGGTGACCTTAGTCTGGGACAAACACTCCTGAAAACCCCTTAAAATTCTTCAACAGTCATGCTCAGAGGCACATGCCTGAAATCCCAGCAACTCGGGAGGCTGAGGCAGGAGGATTGCAAGTTTGAGGCCAGCCTCAGCAACTTACTGAGACCTTGCCTCAAAATTTAGAAAATAAAATAAAAAGGGCTGGGGATGTAGCTTAGTGGTAGAGCCCCCTTGGATTCCATCCCCAGCACCACCACGGAATAAACTAATAAATAACAAATAAATCTGTAACCCAAGGGCTCTAAACTTGGTCCTTTTAAGCTGGTGTTTCTCCTTTGGGTCCAGACCTCTCGGTGGAGGGCCGTCCAGTGCACTGTGGGACCAGTGTCTCTGGCCTCTATCCAGAAGATTTCAACAGCACTGCCTCCCCCTAGTTGTGACAACCCAAAATGCCTCCAGACACTTGGGAATGACCTCAGAGAGGCAAAACCCCCTCCAGGGACTGCGAACCCCTACTCTAAAGGACACCAGCACAGAAGTGGGCGGGGTTCCCTTCTCACAAAGCCCAGGGGAGGCAAATCCCAAAGCTCAGAACACAGTACAGTGTTCTGTACTTTTCCAACAGTGACCAGAAAGGCACCGTCTCTGGGAGTGACAACCCCCACCTTGCCTTGCTATTTACCTGGGTCTGGAACCTTCTGCACAAGAGCTGGTGGAGCAGGCCACCTTCTAAATGCCCAGCTGGGCTTTACAGGGTGGGCTTGTGCAGGGGCAGCCCCCTGAACCCACAGCCCCCCGGCTCATCTGAACTTGGCAGGTCTGGATCTTTCCCCTGAAGCCAGCTCAGGGGAACTTCTCCCACAGCGAGTGACCTCACCTTCTCACTGTGTCAACCACGAGAAGCTCTGTAAGCAAACTTCCAGAAAAATGTCCAAGCAAAACAAACACTTCCTCCCCTCTGCGCGGCCACCCAGGGCAAACACTGCCCCAGCCTCCTCCCCTTCACATCTCGGAAAACGGAAAATCGCCACCCAAGATGACAGTCCCCATCACACCCAAAACAAGAGGTGGGGTGTGGGGGCTGCCTGGCAGCTTCACCTTTGGGGAATCCCTGTACCTTCCTCCACCACCCAGGGGTCTCCTGACGTCCCCTCCCCATTTCGATCACAGAGGCAGCCCTCCAGGGCCAGCCCAGAGCAGAGGCTGTGTGGCCACGGGCAGGTCGCTGCAATCTCTGGGCCAGTCACCGAGATCCCCGCCCCAGAAGGTGGCCGCCTCCGCTGTCGCCCAGGGAGACTCACAGGGCCTGGGGCTGCGCGGCGCGCACTCCGTCCCTCGAAGGCGACAGCAGCAGCAGCAGCAGCACAAACTGGAGCAGCAGCGGTCGGGACAGGGCGCCCCTCATTTTTCGGCTTGGCGGGGTCGCGGTGCCCAGGGAGGGGGTCTGGGCCGGGCCGGGCCAGGGCCACCGTCGGAGCGCAGCCGTCCCCACGCCGCCGCCACCGGGGGCTCTTTGTTCGCAGCCCCGGTGCAGTGCGCCCGGCCACGCTGGGGCAGCCCGGCCAGCCCCCGCCTCCGCCGCGTCCCGCCCGCCCCGCGCGTCCCTGCACCGCCGCCGGCTCAACCCCCTCGTGTCCCCAGCTCGCTCCGCCGCGCCCTCCCGCCCCGCCCCGCCCCGTCCAGCCCACCACGCCCCCTCCACCGCCCACCGCGCCCACCCGACTGCCCTGCGCTGCCCCTCCCAACCTCTGCCACTCCACCCCCATCGCCCTGCCTAGCGCCTCCGCAGCCGTCCCCTCGCGGTCCCCTCTAAGAACCCTCTCTGCTGTGCCAGGGCGTCACCACCTTCACCCTCCCACCGCTCAGGGCCCCTGCCCAGCCTCCCGCTTGGCCTGGACCTTGCACTCTGTGCAGCCTGCGGGCCCTTCGGGGAAACTGAGTCTGGCCAGCGGTCAGTCCTCCCAGGCTGCTCCCCCCCACCCCTCCATCCGCAGATCCCCTTGACCAGGACCCTCTCCTGTGGGCCTCGGGGTCGCGCTTCTCCTTCAGCAGACACTAGAGTTGGCCGGAAGCTTCCTGGTGGTCCTCCTGTCCTGGGTCCCTCTGGCAGGGGCCCCTGTTCCCTGTGCCACTCACAAGTCTTGTCCCAGCTCCCTATAGTGAGGACTCTCCAGCTACCAGCTGCCCTCCTTCAGTGCTGACCACCCACCCGCCAGCCCCAATCCTGCGAGCTCCCTGTGTCCTGCCACCCATGAGTCCAAGTGCGAACTCCTGGCTGTCCAGAAGTGGCTCTAATGGCCCTGACCTCAGCCTGGTTCCTTGAGCTCCTGTCTACCTCGTTACCACCTTGCCCGTGGCCATGACACCCCCGGCCTCCTCCTTCACTGACCTGACTCCTGCTGAGGAGCGGCCCTTGCTCCCCAGCCAGGGTGGGCCCTCTGGATGCCTCGTGCCCCAGGCACAGGATTGGGGCTGACCATCGGCCATCCAGGTAGCACCTAGCCCCAGGACAGGTGTGGGCAGGCCAGGACGGACAAGACCTGTCCCTAAGCATGTAGGCCAGAGATAGCGAGCACACGCAGGGGCTGGAGTGGATTGGGTGGGGGGACATTGGTCCCTCCTGCTGAGACATCGGGAGATGCCAGCCTCCAAGGACATCGCAGGCCACCCCAGGGCAGGTTGTGCCAACCAAGAACCAAGAGCAACCTCTGGTGCAGTGATGCACCGCAGACCGAGGCGGGCTGCAGGGCTGGGGTGCGGCTCAGCATAGGGCTGCCTATACCGTGAGGGTCCCCATCAGATTGTGATAGGGCTGGAGACCCTGTGTCATGATGCCACAGCACATGACACCCTCGAAGCTGGGACAGCACTGCTCACTCTTGCAGTTTGTGGTGACGCTGGTACCAGCAAGGGACTGAGCTGCCCGACGTAGAGAACGCAGCACATGGCACTTGACAGTGGATGACTTGCTGCTTGACCTGTTCACTGGACCTTCATCCTTATTTCAACGTGTGTTCTCCTTATTAAAAAAAAAAAAAGAAGAAAGAAAGTTAACCTTGAAATTGCTGTGTGACACTGGGGCAGTGGTCTTCGTCTCTGTCTCCTCGTCCCTGTGTCTCTTTGTCTCTAGATGATGTGACAGATGGGAAGTGATTGGGTTGCACCATCAAGTTTTAAGGGAGGGCTCTGGGATGTCCACACGGTGACATACAGCCCCTGCATGTGATCGCCATCTCTGAGAAATGAGGTCACATTTCTCAGAGTGGACCCAGCTGTCAAGAGGGGGACTAACCAGGCGGGGGTGTGGTGGCACACACCTGTCATCCCAGAGGCTCAGGAGGATCATGAGTTCAAAGCCAGCCTCAGCTACATCGAGGCCCTAAGCAACTCAGAGAGACCCTGTCTCTAAATACAAAGTACAAAATAGGGCTGGGGACGGGGCTTGGTGGTCAAGTGTCCCTGAGTTCAATCCCCAATGACAAAAAAAGAGAAGCTGACTGTGTGACCCTCAGGCCAGGCCAGCACCTGCCTGGCCAGCGTCTGCCCCGCCCGGCCCTGCACCTCGGCCCTGCACCTCGGCCCTGCACCTCGGTCCTTGCTGCCTCCTAAGCTGCCTCTGCTCCCCAGCCCCGAGTGAGCCTTCTGGGCTTCTGCCTGAGTCCCACCCATGGGCTTCCTTGGTTCCTGGACCCTCTGCGCCAGCTCCAAGCCTGGCCCGGTGCCAGCATCCCCTCTATCTGGAATGGTGTCCCTCTCCTCTGCCTTCAGGGGCACCTCACCCGTCCCCCAGCAGAGGGGCCTGCCCTGACCACCTGTGAGGTCACTGAGTCTCACGGAACCACCGAGACCTGAGTCCCCTGCTGTCCCAGGTGGGCCCTCCACCCTGCCGTCAGCCGGACAGATCTACCTCCCGCGGCTGGGGATTGTTCAGACAGCCAGCTGCATCCTCCTGTGGCACAGAGGTTACTCACTCTCAGCCCCCGCTGGCTCCCACTGCTCCCGAGGGCCACCCCGTGTGGCCCAGCCTGGCATGGTGAGGGGAATACCTGAGGGGAAGTGGCGGCGGGGCCCCACCTGCATCCAAAAATCTAAGGCTGCTCAGGCCTCCTTATCCGACGGCTTCGTCTTCCCCAGAACCTCGGGGCGCCCCCGGAGACCCCGAATCAGCACTGGGGCTGGGGTGCAGCTCAGGGTAGGGCCCTTGTCCAGCCTGCCTGGGGGCCCGGGTTCCCTCCCGGCCCTGAGAAACCAGAGAAGCAAAGGCCACAGAGTTACCCAGAACCCCCCACCCGGTTACTTTCCACCTCTTACTGTCCTCTGTCCTCTGAGTCATCTGGGACTCTTGTATGTAGTGGCCAAAGTGCATCACGAGCACCTTTTCACTGACTCCACATTCTGTGACTTCACTCTGGCAGTTTGAAACTGGCTGGAGCAGAGCGCACTGATTCTGCCCCAAGGCGTTTGATGCTGTTCTGTGTCTTTGCGGAGCTGGGGACGGGACCCAGGGCCTCTCGTATGTGCCAGGCCAGCGCTCTACCACGGGCCCCAGCCCAGCCCTTAATGCTATTTGGAAAATACAAATCTGTCCCAACAAAATGGATACATCGGGACGGATTTGGGCCCCAGGTGTAATGTCGCATTTGCCTACATGAGATTCTTTCTTCAAGAAAGTCCCAGGCGAAGGCAGAACCCCACACCTGGCTTCTGGCGTCCTGCGGAGGTTCACGCCCCGCACACCCACACCCCACACCCTTAACACCCCCGCTCCATCAGTGCCCCCATCTCGTTTCAGGAGACCGCCTCCCTCCCAGGCCTTCACAGTAAGCCACCTGCCTGCGCCCGGGTCCACCGGGGAACCTGGGCCTGTTTCCCGGTCAGTACTGGGCTGTCGCCATGGCAGAAGGTGCGACGTCTGCAGTCGAGGGAGGAGAGGAAGAATGTCCACGCGCTTCCGCCCTTGTCAATGCTTTATTCCCTCCAATCGCTCCTTACCACTTCACTCCACAGGTTCTTCACCAAGGAAATGGCAGTCCCCGAGGCTGGGCACTGCAATCGACATGGCCCACTCACAGCAAACCCTTCTAGATCAGTCTAAGCTCTGCAAGTGCTCTTGATCGTGACAGGCTCGTGACGGGCGGTCCCTCTGCGTGCCAAACTCCAGTGTCAGATCAGAAGTCGCAGCCTCAGATGCCCACTCACTCAGACCCAGTGACCAGGTCAGGGCCCAAGGCAGGCTTCTCCGGGGCTGGAGCTGGCGGCTGGCTGAGGAGGCGGTCACAGAGAGAAGTGCTGTTCTCACCAGGGTCCAGAGGCTGCTGTGGAGTCTGAGAGTGGGGAGAACACCGCAGAGGGTCAGGCGGGGGAGGAGAGGCGGGGTGTCAGTCCAGGTCCCCCTCAGGCTCTCCGGCCTGTGTGCATCAGTGTCGGCTGGCTGGGTGTCTCTTCATTTGCTCCAATATTTATATCAAATTTGGGGGCTTTGACCCCCCCCTTTCAATCCCTATCAGCTGCCACCAGCTCTCTCAGTGGTGTCATTTACCTGGTCTGGTGGTCCCCACCTCATCAGGGAGGACAGCCTGCCGGAGGCTTCGCTCTGGGTCTATCAGGTGGGGGAGTGACTTGCTCGTGTCTGAGGCCACACTGGGGGCCCTGTGGGTGAGCCTAGTGGGACGGCAGGTTTCCAACCGGAGCTTTAAAATGGAGCTGCGCAGGCTCAGGCCTCACCCCCCTGACGTGCACTTACCACAGGATCCGCGTCATTCTGAACTGCTTAACATCGTGCACCCCACAGGTACGTGTATGTGGGGGTGTGTGGGGTGTAGGGGTTCCCCTGAATGCCTACTTGTCAAAAAATGATGACACGGCAGGACGCGGTGGTGCTCGCCTGTCATCCCAGCGGCTCAGGAGGCTGAGGCAGGAGGATCTCAAGTTCAAAGCCAGCCTCAGCAATTAGGTGCTAAGCCACTCAGTGAGACCCTGTGTCTAAATAAAACACAAAATAGGGCTGGGATGGGGCTCCGTGGTTAACCACCCCTGGGTTCAATCCCCGGCACCTAATAAAAGACACAGGGTGACCACGTAGCATGTGGCTCAGAGACAGAAGAGGCGAAGTCACCACGTGGAGTAAAGCAGGACTGCAGGAAGGGTGGCACTCGTGGGCACCGGGAGGAGAACGGGCTCGTTTCTCTGTGTAAGGGCCACCATGTCACTGCACAAACATCTTGTGTTTTGCATAAAACGTCTTCATGAGTCTCCAGTAAACACCTTGTTCTGGTTCATGATCACAGTCGTGTTGTGGCTCCGTCACTGACGGGTCACCCTGGAGCTCGGCACATCCCCCTCCCCTGCCATTGGTGTCTCAGGCCGCGGTTGACCATCCCAAGGGCCTTGCGTCCCTGTGCTCTC